TAGAATGTAGGCCCCCAAGCAACCTGGCTACCTCCTGGACAAAAGGTGGCAGTGATAATAAAGGAAAGAGCAGGGAGCCTAGAAACTGTCTCGGGGAGGTGAGGTGATAGGAAGCAGCACAGTACATGTGCCCAGATTTTAATCTCGCACACATGCTCCACTCTCCTACAGACTTAGCTTACAAAACACAAATTCAAATATAAAGACAGCAAACAGCTGTAGAACATTAAACTCCAAGTGCAAAGGCTCCTGAATACAGGGCCTTGTGCAACTGCAGTGGTTGCAGGCCCGTGAAGCCACACTAAAAATAGTAACACATTTCTTGCATTGATGGAAAGGCTACATTTGCATGCACTGAATAGCAAAAGAACACTTAAAATTTCAAGATTTAATTTGCTGTTTATACAGAAATATTGGACATAAGAGCATGAATATGGAGCTAGCTACAATATGAATATTCCCCCTTTTTTTCTTTCTAGAACCCTTAAAAAAATAGAAGAAGAAGAAATAAGGAAAGAAGAATACAAGAAAGAACGTGAGCAATAGGCAAACTCCATGTTTGCTTAACTAGGAGATTTAAAAATCCACAAATTCAGGTGTATAATCTAAAGCAGCTGAAACTGACTTTAGCCCCATGGGACACAGTGGCATAGGGAACAGTGGTGCATTATAGAGAGGGCAAGTTTCTAGAAGGATGAAAAGTAGCAGCAAGACAGAACAAAATGTGCATTCCCTGGAGGTCAAGAGACTTTCAGAAAGGAAATTTGGAGAGCTAAGTGTTTTGAGAAGGGATAAGATGAAATAGCCTAAGATTGGAAAAAACCTACATATGGGATAAATGGGGGTGGAGTCAAGATGTAAGTTACGCCTTTATAAATTCAGAAAGTCCCACAAATACAGCTTCTGCTGGTGAGAGGATTAGCTGTGTCCCTTCAACAAAAACTGTGTTCCTTTGTTGAATTAACCAACAAGAGAGCTGGAGAACTTGGAACAGAAAGTAGTTCTTTTAGGCCCAGATTAGTTGAGAGAAATTAACAAAGAAACAGGTAGTGAGGCGCTATCTGAAGAAAACAGGTGGTATTGGTTGCAGCAGAGGAGAAAGTGGTTGAGAGAAAAATCCTAGAAGACTACAATATACTTGCTTCTCAATTACCCCTTCCCAGACCTTTACAGGAAACACACAAGGAATACTTAATTCACCCAACCAAATATCATAAGATGATCTGTTGCAGCCTTGCTAAAAGAAACTATAAGATGATAAAAAGAAATTTGAAGAGAAAAAAAGAAACTATAAGAAAGGAAGGTGAAAACAGAGAAATATAACTTACCATCAGAACAAGATGTACCAGAGAGTATATTGCCATGTAATATATGAAAATTATAACCAAAAACAAACATTCAGTTTAAAATTTAATAAAACAATCATGGCTACAAAAAAAATCACAAAATTGAAATACAGAAATTCAGGAAAAGAAGTGGCATACAAGTGGAGGTAAAATACGAGCTGGCAAGTTGCAAGAAGCAAAAAGTAGAATGGATATTGTGAAATATATAGTAAAGAAAATTCAGAATATAAATAAAGTTAAATAAATATATTGAATTAAAACAACTAGTGAAAAATGATAGACATGGAATGCAATGAAAATAGAATAAAGAAAGTAGAGTGAAAATGACAGCTATAGAAGGCTGGCAAACCAGATCAAATATAAACATAAAGTAGTTTCTGAAGGGAAAAAGTGATATGAAGAGAGAGCAAATATTTAAAAATATAACTGAAGGAAATTTTTCTGGTATAAAAAGACTTAAATTTACATTTTGAAAGAGAACATTATGTGGCAGGGAAAAGTAACTCAGATCAGCAAACACTGAGCTATTTCCAATAAAGTTACCACACTTTAAACAAATAATCATTTGAGGGCAGTCAGGAAAAAGTTTAAGTCATAATAAAGTGAAAAAACATGTTACCTCAGATTAGTACATGGCAACATTCAGTGGCAGAAGATGATGACAAAATATCTCTTATTAAGGAATAAACTGTAATTTAAGGAATTTCCATCAAGCCAACCTGAGTTCCAAGTATAAAAGAGACAGATTAATAGCTGATACCCAGAGGCTTTCTGAGAAAAAACAAAAAAAGCAACTGGAAGACAAACTTTAGCCAATAAATAGATAACTAGGGCAATGTAAAATGAATGGCAGTAAAAGAAGTTACTTGATCGTAGAACAAAGACATTTTAAAAAATATTAGTAGATAGCAAAATTGGATATAAATAATATAAATGTTGGTGATCTAGAAAAAAATATAATTAATAGAAATGAGAGGACGAAGATGGAAATGAAGCTAAAAGTTAGAATACAGCTGGAAGATGGCCAGTAGTAACTGGGACTCAAAAGATAATATCTAAGGGTCAATTAAAGTAATAGCATAGGCATATTTTACGCTACAAAATAATGTTAAGAAAGTTAACTGTATTGAATAAAATTGGGTGAAAGGAGAAACCATACAAACTTTAGCATATACTTGGTGGAGACTTAGAGAACTATTAAAAATTAAGAACTATTAAGGATTGGATCAAAACACACTAAAATAGAAGACTTTCATTCACTTAATCCAAAAGAGATCAATATTGAAAATCTAAATAACATAATCAAAAAGGCATCTGATTAATGCATGTTAAATTCTGTGACTTGATGATAAAGAATAAACTTCATCCTAAGTTTTGTAGGTTATATTCAAGAAAACTGATGAGACAAATAAAAAATGATTGGAGAATCAACAGATTCTCCAAAATGAAAACAATACAGAACACATTTTCTAATATCACAATAATAATTATAGAAAATAACAAGAAACAAAATAATAATTCTTTAAATCACCAGCTGTTATGGTTTGGTAACCAAAGCGCATCTTGAATTGTAATCCCCATAATCCCTCATAGAAGGGACACCATGGGAAGTAATTGAATCACGGGGGTGATTTCCTTCATGCTGTTCTCATAATAGTGAGTTCTCAGGAGACCTGATGGTTTTATAAGTTGTGTGGCATTTCTGCTGCTGGCACTCATTCTCTCTCCTGATGCCCTGTGAAGAAGTGCCTTCTTCCATGATTATAAGTTTCCTGAGACCTCCCCAGACATGCAGAATTGTGAGTCAATTAAATCTCTTGTCTTTATAAATTATCCAGGCTCAGGTATTTATTCATAGCTGCATGAGAATTGACTAATACACCAGTGATATGGTCTGGCTCTGTGTCCCCAAACAAAACTCACCTTGAATTGAAATCCGAATTATAATCTTCACGTGTTGGGGGAGGGACCTTGTGGGAGGTGATTAAATCATGGGGATGGTTCCCAAATGCTGTTCTCGTGACAGTGAGTGAGTTCTCACAAGATCTGATGGTTTCAGAAGGGCTTTTTCCCCCTTCACTCTGCACTGCTCTCTCTCCTGCCTCCCTCTGAAGAAGGATATGTTTGCTTCCCCTTCTGCCATTATTGTAAGCTTCCTGAGGCCTCTCCAGCCATGCAAAACTGTGAGTCAATTAAACCTCTTTCTTTTATAAATTACCCATTCTCAGATATGTCCTTAGAGCAGCATGAAAACAGACTAATAAAACCAGTATATAAAAAATATAACATATTGATATCAAATAGGATTTATTCCAAAATTGCAAAGATGCTTAATTCTTGGTGATTATAATATCATATTAATAAATCTAAGGAGAAATATTATTGGAACTAATTTTAAATCTGTTCATAAAAATACCAAATAAGAGATAAACTGTTGGATAATAATATAAATAATTATATATACAACATAATCATGAGACATATATTTCAGCAGAAAGCATAATACTTTAAAGTGACACATTAAGGAATTTGCACTAAACCCACAACAAAGCAAATACTCAGTAAAGCAATTTTTACTTATTATTATGCTAACCAACACTAACAAGAGAAAGGAATTATAAGACTAAAAGTTGAAAACGAGGACATTGATAAAATTTGTAAGTGGGATAATCATATTTCTTGAAAATTTAAGCAATTAAAGTAATAGAATTTAGTAATATAGCAGTGTGTCAAATTATAAATCAAAAATCAGGCCAGGAGAATTCACTCAAGCCTGTAATCTCAGCACTTTAGGAAGCTGACGCAGGTGGAATGAATGAGGTCAGGAGTTGGAGACAAACCTGGCCAATACGGTGAAACCCTATCTCTTCTAAAAATACAAAAATTAGCCAGGCATGGCGGCACATGCCCATAGTCCCAGCTACCAGGAGGCTGAGACAGAAGAATTGCTTGAATCTAGGAGGTGAAGGCTGCAGTGAGCTGTGACCACGCCACTGCATTCCAGCCTGGGCAACAGGGAGAGACTCCATCTAAAAAAAAAAAAGAAAGAAAGGAATGCGTATATACAGAAAATAAGCTAGAGAATAAAGTGAGGGAAAATTACATTTAAGACAGCAGCAAAACAAGACAAAAAATTTTTGGAAAAACTTGAGTGTTTACATTTTATATAAGAGAAGTTTTAGAGCACTGCTGAAGATCTCATAAGAAGAACTGAACAAATTAAAAGACACCCTTTCTTATTGAATAGAAAAAATCAACACTAGAAGGATGTCAATTTCCATCAGTTTTAATAATGTAAGGTAATATTAAAAAATAACTAATACACCTTTGTTTTTGCATTTTTGTGATGATGGTTTCTTATTTTGTTGTTTGTGTATTTTTGTTTGTGCAATGGAACTAGAAAGTTAAATTTGAAGTTCATAAATAAAACTAAACCAGCAAGGCTAGACATAAAAATCTCTTAAAAAGAAAAGCAACAAAGTAAAGGGTCCTTTGCTCACAGATATTAAAACATATTACAGATGCTCCTCAACTTACAATAGGGTTATGTCTTGATAAATCTATCAACAGTCAAAAATATCATTAGTATAAAATATGTTTAATACCCCAATAAGAAAATAAAAGAAATCATAAGTTGAACCATATTTAAGTCAGGAAATATCTGCATATAGCTTGTATGTTTAAAGCACCTTGATATTTGTGTCTGAAGAGACAGACCAATAACACATGATAGAAAGTCAAGAAATAATTAGCCAGGCATGGCTGTGCATGGCTCTAATCCCAGCTACTTGGAATGCTGAGGCAGGAGAATCACTTGAAACTGAGTGGCGGAGTTTGCAGTGAGCCAAGATTGTGCTACTGCACTCCAACCCGGGCAACAGAGCGAGACTCCATCTCAAAAAAAAAAAAAAGAAAGAAAGAAAAGAAAAGAAGAAAAGCCAGATATTTTAGGAAGTTTGCTACCTACACTTCAAATCTGTGGAGAAAAGATGAGTTTGCAATAAAGGTTCTAGTATCACTGGCTGGCTGCCTGAAAAGAAGAATGAAGGATACATACTTCATACCTTTGTTAGGAAAAGTGACTAAATAAAGGTTTAAAGACAAATATTAAAATGTAACCATAAATGAATCAGGAGTAACCATAGGATAATTATTTTATTTCCTTGGACTAGGAAAGGTCTTCCTATGACTCTAATCTAGAAGCCATAAAAGTAGTGATAGATTAATGCACATATATAAAATTGTACTCTTCTATTATGGAGAAAATCATAAGCAAACTCAAAAAGAAAAAAACAAAATTGCAACTCATATCCAGATAGAACTAATCTCTCAGACATAAGAGTTCCTAGAATCAATGAGAAAAAGCCAAACAAAACAGAAATGCAATTTAAAAAAAGAAAAATTGTCAAGAGTATGAATAAATAGTTCATTGAATGGAAAAATTAATGGTCTTTAAACATAAGAAAAGTTGATAAACATCCATGGTCTTATTATTTGCATTTTAACAGATTTATTGAGATATAATTCATATATCACACAATTCAGCCATTTAAAGAATGCAATGAAATGTTTTAGCTTATTCACGGATATGTATCACTATCACCATAATTGATTTCAGAATATTCTCATTACCTCAAAAAGCAATCCTAAATATTTTCGCTATTATTCCCTATTCCGCTACTCACCAATTCTCCCTCACAGTTCTAAGCAACTACTTACCTACTTTCCTACTCTAAAAATTTGGCCATTTTACTTTCCTATGAATCGAATCATATAATACATGATGTTACCATATAACATTTTGTCTTTTATTACAGGCTTCTTTCATTTAGCATAGTGTTTTCAAGGTTCATTCATGTTTAAGCATGTGTTCAATACTTCATTTTTGTCTAAATAATATTTTATTAGCTGTATATACCACAATTTGTTTATTCATTTGTCCATTCATAGACATTATGTTGTGTCCATCTTTTGGCTATTGTATGTAATGATACTATAAGCATTTGTGTTCATATGTTTGTATTTCTCTTGATTATATAATTATAAATATAATATTAGATTACATGAGAACTCTGTTTATCATTTGAGAAATTGCCATCCTGTTTTCCAAAGTGGCTGCACAATTTCACATTTCCATAAGCAGTACCTGAGGGTTCTAGTTTTCCCACAACTGTGTCAATACTTGTTATTATCTAACTTTCTATTCTAGCCAGCCTAGTGGATATAACTTGGTATCTCACTGTGGTTTTTAATTTGCCTTTCCCTAATGATTATTGTCAGGCATCTTTTCTTTATTCGGGGGGGAATTATTTCACCTTTATTTCTGTCACTATACAGGCAATACAGATATTTCATACATAACAAGGTTAAGTGACATGTGCATGTTCCATGTAAAATGGAGACAGAATGAAGACTGCACATGTCTACTTCATTTAAGTGCAGGGGTATTTCTTTAGTGCCATCATACCCTTCGCCAGCTCTTCCTCCTGAGATTCATATAAGAAGTGCAAGAGCTCCTTCAGGTCCATAGCTGATGAGTGTTTATCCTTGTCACATCTCAGTAATTTTTGTTTTATCTCCAGTGACATCTGGCAGCCAAAAGTGGTCTCCAATTCCTTGGCTCTCTTCTTGTCGGAGAGGCCAAAGAAGAAATGTTCCGCTTGGATCAGGTTGGGGTTTTTGAGTCTTTCTTCTCTGGAATACAGCTGCCCAAGGCCAATGATCCAGGCGAATCTGTCCCTGTCCTCCTCCTCCTTCTCCCAGACATAGAATAGTGCTGCCAGAAACTGCTGGAAGGTGAGGTGGCGGAAGGAGTAGCAGCCTTCAGAGCCTCTGTCCTGGTGGAGGATGTCTCTGTCCAGGAACCTACAGGAGTTGGACTCTTGAACCCTGAGCCTACGCAGGTGTTCTCCATCAAACACAGATGTCTGTGCCCACAGGCCCTGCACAGCCAGGAGGCTCAGGGCCCACAGAGTGCCCTGAAGCTGTGCGCCCTGTGGAAACTGGACACAGAGGAAGCACAGGAACAGCACCATGTAGGTGTGGCAGAGGGGGGGCCAGGCCCTTCCCCTTCTCCATCTGCAGCTTCAGACTCCTGCACACCCAGTGCACTGCATGCACTGAACCCAGATGGAATAGGGCCCTGTTGCTTCTCATCAGCTCAATGGCCACGGAGCTTGGTCCTCATCTCCAAACCAACTCAGGAAATACCCCCTCCTGTCCTGCTCCAGGAACCCCTCCATCTTTACTTAGAGTGGGTGCTCCAACAGGAGCCAGAGCTCCCTCAGGGTCCCAGTCTGCGTGGTGACCAGCAGGGTGGCCTTGGGTACCATCTTCCTCTTCAGCAAACTCCCCAAGAGGATGGGTACCAGCTTCTGCTTCTCCCAGTACCCACAGATGTTATGGATCAGCACCCCAGGTGGGACTCTTAGCTCATCAAAGCCATCGACGATGACTAACAGGAATTTCTGTGCTTGGACTAGGATGTTTGGAGTGTAATCCTGCAAATCAGGCCAGTCCTTGAAAACCAGGTCTGCAAAACTGCTGGGGCCCACATGGCTGAGCTCCTTGCAGCTGAAGTAGAAACCCTATTTGAATATCTGACTGAGGTTGTCCTCTGTCCAGTCCAGCATTAACTTCTTTGCCAGGGTGATTTTCCCAAAGCCCACAGGACCGTGCAGCACTACTGCTGGGGGGAACAGCCCTGGGGGCACCTTGGGGTTGCAGAATGGGATAAGCATTTTGTATCTCTGGGTGGCAATGTGGACTCCTTTGCTGTTTCCGGGCCAGTCCTTCCACATTTGCTGGAACTTCTTCTACAATATACTCCTGTAACCATCCTCTTAACCTGGCTTTTCTCCATGCAAGACTTCTTTAGCTTCCCCCAGGTTCGTGACATCTTTCTCTATTTCTGTGAACTCTAGTGCTTCCTCTTCAAAACGCTCCAGTATTTCTTCCAGGTCTACAGATTTCGGTTCTTCTGTCCATATTATCCCAAATGATAGAGGCTTGTTTTCATAAAATGATTTCAAAGCTGCTTCTCTGAGTTTATCCTTTGCTCTCCCAGACAGATCTGTTCAGTTCATCTTTTCAGATACCTGGATGGCTGCCATCCCTGCCCAGTAGCTGTGGCAGTGGCTGGGGAAGATCTCTGCCGTGTCTACCTCCGTGGGGTAACCGTCTGTAACTCCTTTCCAGGGAGATTGTTCTGATCAGAGACTTGAACTTGCTCAACTCACCCTGGCTGAGCTGCTCCAGAAGACCCTGCAGGTTGAAATTCAGCTGTGCAGAAGACGCTATCTTGTCCTATGTGGGAGCTCTCCCAATGCCTGGCCCTACTCTTTGGCTATCACATCTTTCCACATACTAGTAAGTATATATTTTTATATCTTTTGGGTAGAAATATCAAAAGACCTTTTCTCATTTTAAAATTAATTTTAACCCAATTTTTTATTGTTGAGTTGTAAGAGTTCTTTATAATATAGTCTAGTCACAGGTCCCTTATTAGAGATACAATTTGCAAATATTTGCTCCTATTCTGTCTTATCAGTTTAATGATGGTGTCCTTTAAGCCACAAATGTTTTTTATCTTGGTGAAGTCAAATTTATCTATTTTTTTCTTGTTGCTTATGGTTTTGATGTCATGTCTAAGAATCTTTTCCAAGTCCTAGGTGATAAAGATTTACCCCTATCCTTTACTATAAGAATATTATAGTTTTAACTCTTTACATTTAGGTCTTTGATCTGTTTCGAGTTTATTTTTGTATATGGTATGTGGTAGAAACCCAACTTAATTCTTTTGCATGTAGAAATCTACTTGTCTAAGCACTACTTATCGAAAGTCTATTCTTACCCCATTGTATGGTCTTGAAACCCTGTTGAAGGTCAGTTGACCATAGATGTACAAGCTCATTTTGGGACTCTCAATTCTGTTTTATTGAGTGATGTCTCTATCCTTGTGCCACATGACACCATCTTAATTGCTTGGTATTCAGTCATGAAATAAGGAAAGGTGAGTTGTCCTTGTTCGTTCTTAGTTTTCAAGATTGTCTTGGCTATACTGGGTCTATGTGATACTAATTGAATTTTATCACTAGTTTGCCCATTTCTACATAAAGTAAGCTGAGATCCTGACACGGATTGTATTGAATCTTAGATCAGTTTGGGGAGTAGTGCCATCTTAACCATACAAATTAAGTCTTCCAATCTAGAAACATGAGATGCTTTCCACTTATTTAGATCTAATTTTTCTCGATAATGCCTTGTAATTTTCAGAGTATAAGTTTTCCTTCTTTTTGTTAAAATTTATTTTTAGGTATTCTTCTTGATACATTTCTAAAAGTAATTGTTTTAATTTCAATTTTAAATTGCTCATTACAACTCTGTATAATTATTTTTATGTATTGATCTTGTATCCTGAAATCTGGATGAACCCATTTAGTAGTTGTAATAGGTTTCTAGTGAATTTTTTAGTATTTCCCACATACAAGATTATGTCATCTGCTAATACAGATAGTTTCACTTCCATTCCAGTCCAGTTGCCTTTCTTTTCTTGTCTGGTTGTTAGCGCTAGCACCCTTACTGTAATGTTGTTCAGTCATGCTAAGAGCAGATAACATTGAGGTGGTCCTGATTTTAGGACAAAAGCGTTCATTTTTCCATTAAATATAATTTTGGCTATGAGTTTTCACAGATTACTTTTATCAGATTAAGGAAGCTCCCTTCAATTTCCAGTTGGGAATATATATCATGAAAATAGGTTGGGTTTTGTCAAATCCTTTTTCTATGCTTATTGATGTAATTATGTAATTTTTGTTTTTATTCTATTAATGTGATGAATTGATTTTCATGTGTTCAACCAACCTTGCCATCCTGGGATAAATCTCACTTGGTCATTGTGTACAATTCTTTTTATATGTTACTGTATTCAGTTTGCTTGTATTTTTTTGGAGTGCATATTTCAGGTTGAGTATAAATTTCTATGTATCCTAGAGAAGGCAGTCCTGAAAAATATAAACTACAAGAGCATTTGCTCTTTGACCTGGCTTTTCCACTTCTAGTATTTTTCTTACAGGTATGCCTGCTTGCATAGCATTATTTCTAGGAACAAAATACTTAACATCCTCATTAAGTTCTTTGAAACTGCAACCTTGAATGAAATGATATATAACAAAAACAATTTTATCATAGGCTAACTCATAGAAGCAAGAGTTAAATTCCTATGGCATATTTATGGTCACAACCACATCACCAAAGTTCTAAATAAAGACCAAACACTTCTAATATTAAACACTGAAACAAATTTGAGCTCTACATACATTTTTAAAAGATTAATAAAAACAAGTAAGATAATTTTTTATCTACTTATTCCAATTCAGGGTTGTGAGTGGCCTGAGCCTATCTGGCAGCTCAGGGTGCCAAGTGGAAAGAAATCTTGGACAGGACACCATCCTATCATAAGGTACACTCACATGTACACATACACTCCCCCAGACTGTGAGCATTTAGACACTCCAATTAACCTAACATCTTTGGGATGTAGGAGGAACCTAGAGTACGGAGAAAATCCATGCAGATGTAGGTAGAACCTGCCAACATGCAAACTCCATATAGATTGTGGCCCCGGTTTGGAATTTTTTTTTTTCATCATCAATATTGTAACAAAATGATGTTGAAAAAATGTTATTTGAGGATCTGCTGTATTGAAAATAAAATAATGCAAGAGGCTAAAAAGAGGATGAAGAGTGGTTTACATAGTGATATATAAAGAGGTCCATGATATTTTTCAGTTAAAAAAAAAAAGGCCCATGTTAACTTCTGTGGGAGAAATGGGAGGTGGGCTCTAAATTATATTTGTTTGGATTTTCATTTCTAGAGGAAACTCTGGAAAGATATTTTAAAAATCAGGAAAAGTAGAAATCACTACAGAACATGGTAGATACAGATGGGAATGGAAGGGAGGTGTTCACAGTGCTTCTTTGATAGTTATACATTTTTAACCACACATATGTATTACTAGCATTAAATAATTCCTATTTCAAAAAGAATCAAAACATAGGAGTTTTACCAAGATAAAGCCATTGGGTAGGAAGTGGCTCTTGGTATGATCAAGTTCAAATCTTTTTTTGGTGGGGGACGGAGTCTCACTCTATCACCCCAAATGGAGTGCCGTGGCACACTCTCGGCTCACTGCCACCTCCACCTTTTGTGTTCAAGCAGTTCTCCTGCCTCAGCCTCCCAAGTAGGTGGGATTACAGGCACCTGCCACCATGCCCAGATAATTTTTTGTATTTTTTAGTAAACATGGGATTTAACCATGTTTACCAGGCTGGTTCTGAACTCCTGACCTCAGGTGATCCACCCACCTTGGCCTTCCAAAGTGCTAGGATTACAGGTGTGAAACACCGCACCTGGCCAAATTCAAATCTTTGAATTGAGATGAAGAAACAAAGGTCAAGCTAGGAAAAAGGATTTGCCCCAGGACACATGGCAAGTTCTTGGCAGAATTGGGATAAAGATTCATATGTTCCAATTCAAAATCAGGTCTCTTCCCACTTCTGTGTATCTGCTTTTCACTTTAGGAAATCCTATATCTTACTTTTACTATGTATTATGGGAAGGGAGCATCATGCTTAAAACTAATATACTCAGAGTCCTCTCTTCCCAGTGGTGCCCTGGGTCACCTGGAGTATGTGTCCTACTTGGTAGCAGCCTCCACATTATCCTAATGAAGACATGCCAGTTCTACATGCCAGAAACCCTTTATTAAAAATTTACAAAACCAGGCCACAAATGTTCACATTATGCAATGTTTTCTTCTTACAACCACTTTAATGTTTTTCTTTTTAATATTTTTTCTCTTTTCTATGAGTATTTCTTCAGAAATACTCTCTCTACGCATCTGTCCACCTTGATGGTAGCACAAGCACTATAATCTGATTTACATTCTCAGCAACTGCAAAAATAGCCTATTGCTCTAGAGATAATGGGGATGGTGTCTAAGTTACTGATTACTATATCAGAGATAACTACAGAGAGCAAGACTTCATTCAGGCAAGTTAAAGCACTTTCTACAGACGTTTCTTAATATATTGGCCATAGATCCTTCTCAAAATGTATTCAATGGGCATAATTTTTTTTATCCTAGTCTCTCTTTGTGACTCTCCCCTCCCGCCCATTCTCAATCACCAAGTTTCAAAAATTCTTGCTGACTCCACCAGCCACTGTATTGGGCATATGATTCAGATGTGATCACAGAGCATATGCTACCCCTTCAATCAAGTATTTGGATCAGAGATAGGCACACAACCGAGACTGGGACAATGAAAATGCATGGAACTTTGCTGGCGCTATCAGGAAAAGCCTCACTTTCTGTTGGGTTTGCTAAACGGAATGAGTAAAAGTCTAGAGCTTCCAGTAGTCAACTCTGCTCCCACACCCAAAGAGACCAAATGAAAATCAACACAGAGAAATCAAAGTCTAGGAGAAAGGCTGTCAAAGACAATGTTTGAGCCCCTGAATCTAGTTATATCTAAAATTTCATCCCTTGATTCCTCATTCTATGAAAAAAAAAATAGTAGTCTTCTCTGTTTGGTGGCTATTTGGGTTTGATTTGAGTTAATCTTATAAAATACTGATATATATATTTTCTTAGCTGTAATGCTCTACCAATTATACAGTATGTGTTTTTTATTTTATCCAATAGAATCTCCATGAAAATGGAAAGTTTATATTAAATAAGCAGATGGTTAGCATGGTATGTTTCCTACTTTAATCCTAAATTCTCTGACGCACTTAGAAGGTTTTTAATAGATGAATAGTATTCTACAGGAAAGAAAAGTGAACACTAAAATAACAATGTTTATAATCCTTCCTACAAGTTATAAAGCACTATCATAATGCTACCTTCACCCTTTTCCCTCATAACAAGCTTTTCAGATGGACAGTGTGTTATAATTACATTTCGAAAATGAACAAAGAAAAGTTTCAAGTGCCATAATTTATCCAAAATCACAGAGCTAAGGAAGGAAAGAATTGAACACAATAATCTCAAATTTTTCTTTGTGTTTCCATTATGCCACACTGACTTAGATAAAGACAAACAAAATGCAACTATTAAGCTGAAGCATTTAATCTAAATTGCAACTTTTCAGTTTCACATAGGTTTATGAAATCATATGGATTTCCCCTTTTACATTAATCTTTCTGTTCCACTTTCCCTCTCCCAGTCCTGATCAGAAAAATCTGTGCTCACATTTTACAGATACTTATTTTGCTCACTAAATTTAAAAACAATTTTCAAAATGTATTATTTATAAAGACTATAACAGAAAACCTTTTTTGTTCATAAGAATAAAGTAAACAACCCTTACAGAGCTGCTTGAGGCTGCTTAAGGTAATTTAATTTGACTAAAATACAGGCTTGATGCACTTATAAGCCCTGTGAAATTATGCAAGACTATTTTAGATAAAGATGAAGAAAGTTATAAACAAGAATAAGGCACAGCCTTATACTGGAGAAGAAAAGGGGGAGAGCATAGTGGGTAGGGGGATATGGTGCATTTCTCAGGATTCAGAATTGCAAACCACAAAATTCTTTTTATTGATGGAAAAAAAAATCTGCTTTGCTCAAAATACACCTGAGCTGGGAGTCAGGGTTGAAAGATGTGCAACCAAGAGCAAGATTCAGGGACTACTCCTGCAGACCACGCCGTTTCTGCCAATGCAGACAGGTACTGAGGCTGCACCACGTGCTGGATGCCGACATTTCTAACATGACTATCCCCCAAAGCGACATTCCTCAGCCACCAGGTTTGCCTGATGCAGCTTCCACGAGGGTGATTACTTCCTCACATTCTCTCTTCTGAATCAGTTTTCTTTTTTCTTTTTTTTTTTTTTTTGTAGTATAATTTAAAGTCACATTGTTTTGTTTATTTTGTTCAGGACGTCTTTGGCTCTTCTAGGTCTGTTGTGGTTCCATATAAGTTTTAGGATAATTTTTTCTACTTCTGTGAAGAATGTAATTGATATTTAATAGGGATCACATTAAGTCTGTAGACTGCTTTGGGTAGTATGAACATGTAAACAATATTGATTCTTCCAATCCATGAACATGTAATATCTTTCCATTGATTTGTGTCCTCTTCAATTTCTTACTTTCTCTCTTTCTTTCTCTTTCTTCTCTCCCTCTTTCCCTCCCTCACTCCCTCCCTCACTCCCTCCCTCCCTTCCTTCCTTCCTTCCCTAAACAAAGTTTTCTAAGGATGTTTCTGGTTGGGAATATCTAGGTCACATGCCTCTATCCCTGCTTCAAAAAAGGCTGGGAGGACAAATTTCTGAATTCTGCATTAAGAATAGGGACACAATAAAATTGAGGAAAATCCTCAAACATAGAAAAGATATTAAAAATCTTCTGACATTGTCTAAGCTTACACATGTCTACCAGATACGTTAGAGGACATACAAAGGGGAACGAAGGTTTTTATTAGGAAAATTACTTTTTTAAATAGGGAAGATTCTTCTGATGGAAGAAGCAGGAGAGAGAGTTGGAGATAATGGTTTTTCAGAAAGACTATTTTAAGCAGACATCAGGCAGAAAAGGCATACTCCACGCTCCCCATTATTCTAACTTTTTCACAAGAGGCTCACACATTCCTTAGCTCTCTACTTCATGGGTAGCCCAGACAAACTGTTATAATTATGCAGTAAATATAACTTTAGAAGGTTTCAAGTCAGTTTCATAGAAAAAAGTAACAGTAAAATATTAAATTGTCCTACTATGACCTCACACATCAAACTCACAGACATCAATCTCTCAACTGAATCCAATTATACTGAAAGCATTTCAAATACACAGAAAAAAGTGTAAGAAAAACATCTAAAAATGATGAAGCAAGTGAAGCCTGTTCAAATTCAACCTTTTGAAGGGATTTCCCCAAAGTGCTGAATAATTATAACCCTGAGCTGATATAAAGCTAGTTCTAAAGGAAATCTTTCATTCCTGCTTTAAACGTATGACAGGCATAGCATTAGAGAAATGGACCAGCTTCCACCAAAGGAGAATCATGTTCTATAATTAGAATGTCCACCAGAGAGGTATAACACCATGCCATAGAACACGATTCCTGGGCAGCACTCACATACTCCAGCCTGTGCCTTCACAAGGAAATAGCAAAGGTCCAGAAGACTCTTCTTGCAGCCAGCTCCCAGTGTATATTTAACTTTTTCTATTTGCATTTAAGCGAGACAATAGGAAAATAGTCTTTACTCCTGCTTTCTAGATGTTAAACATCATCTATACAATAATTCTACTATTTTATGACATTTATTCCATTAAAAATACTACCAGCTATTACTATTTGCAGTAGAATACTATGTAGGTTATAATTTTGTCTGTAGAGAAATGCATGATACTAAATAGCTTTCATGTGATATCAGTTATAATTTTGAATGCGTGAAAAAATAATCTTGAAGGATATGCCAAATTTTAACAATGGTGAGCTTCAGGTGTTTAGATTTCATTTTGGTTAGGTGGTTTTTAATTTAACTTTTACTTTCTGTTCATCTATACCATTCTTAATGTTTTAAACAATCTATAAAGCGTGCACACACACACACACACACACACGAACACAAACACAAAGCATTTATAATCAGAAAAATAATAATGAAGACTTACTGGGTTGTCAAAGTCACAATTACTGGCATGTCTGATATTTATATCTTGAATATAAAAAAATCCAAAGAAAATTATTTTCTAAATAATACTTTTTAAATTAACCACTTGGGACATTGAACTTTCTAAACTGAACTCCTTCCTTATTGAAAAAGAAAGAACAAGAAAATTAAGTACTAGTTAACTTCATCTCAAATACTCAAATCAACATCATGAACGTCTACTGTAGATCCCTGGGGGCCTAACATTGTTTACTGCAGCATTTAATGACTTTAGACTGCCCTGTTTTTTTTAAATAAAGTACTGTTTTGAGCTCTTTTATCTACATATTGTCTGTTCCTTGGCATTTTTGTGAGGTTGTGTAGCTTTGAACATCATTCTCTAATGCTGGCAATGCCATCTCTTGCCTTCATTCTTGCCATCACTCTCTCCTTATTGGTAGAAATTGAGTGGAAAGAGCAGACATTTGGCAACACAAAGGCTACATTCAAATTCAGATATAAGCAGGTATTAATGGTCATCAACTAATCATTTAACCTCACTTAGAATTTCTGTTTCCTTATCTCTAAAGTGGGCAGGGAGATAATAATAGTACCCAATGTGGCTGTTAAAAAAATATGGTTGTTAAATTAGTTTGAACATATGAAAGCAGTTTTCAAATTGTAAAGCCATACACAAATAATTTTAATCTTTGCAATTCTAAAGTTCTTTGTTTTGATCAGCTATGGCCTTGAAAGCCAGATAAATATATTAAGCAGCATAATTAAGAGTAAGAATAATATATGGTAAATGAGCTTTAAATATTGTCAGAGGTCTGAATTGAACCAAAAAAAGAAAGTTTCATCTAGTCAAAGACATGTATTTTTCCACAACTTTAACATTTCTAAACTGGAACATGTTGAAGTGATCTCACCAAGATGGCAGAGTAGAAGGTAACCCACTCATATGCCTCCACAGCAACCAGAATTCTGTATGTCTTTACAGTCAAAAGTCTCTCTTCAGGAGCCTCAGGATTCAAGTAGGAATTTGTGAAACCTTATTGAAGCCTAAGACTTATTAGGCTTGTTTTGAGTATGCAGACCAACCCAGGTGGCTGATCTGCCCCACCAAGCTTGTTTCCTGGTTCATAGCCAAGTCTCTCAAGGAGTTTAGCTAAAGCTCCATTTGTTCTTGAGCCTGTAACCAAAACCATCTGCCAAAAGGTCCAGAAGGAATCCTGCACACTAGGGCCTTGGTAAAAAGGCTCACCTGCCTGCTGACATTGGTCACAGCAGTGAATCTGAAAGTTACCTTGTGATACTGTTCTATCCTTCCTCAGCTGATCTCCTAGCTCTGAGCAAGGACCCAGAGAGGGAGACTCATCCATATCCCCCACCCTGGGAGTCTAAGCCACACAGATGAGCATGCCAACCTCTAACCCACAGCAGGTCCCAAGGGGACCTAGTCTCAGCTTTTGCCTCTCTCACTGTAGTTGGGGAACTATCCCATCTGTGCTGAGACCTGTTGGGAGAAACTTACCTGTCTGAGCCAGTGAGACCAGGATTTTAAGACTCTTTCCCACAGCAGATCCCAAGGGGATCCAGTCTCAACTCCAGCACCTCTTGCAGCAGGGAATTATCTTATCTATTCAAGAACTTGCTGAGTGACACACATTCCTCCAAGCCAAGACTAGGCTTTCCAGCATCTGTCCCACAACAAACACCACCGGGACTCACTGTAAGCGTTAGTCCCTCTTGCTGCAGTCAGGAAACTATCTCATCTGTACAGATGGGAGATGCATGCCCATCTAAGTCAATGTAACATGCAGATTAGCCTTCATTCCACAGCAGATCCTGAGGGGTCCCAGTCTCATCTCTGGTCCCTCCTGTTGTAGTAATGGAACTACCCTCACTTGGGCAAGGACCTGCTGAGTGACAGTCACCTGTCTAGGCCAATGAGACAGGCCCATCAATAGAAGCTGAAGGAGCCCAGGCTCAACTCTAGTCAGGGACTCATCCACTTGTGCATATGCCTGCTGTGAAAAACATTCACCTGGGCCACTGGGGACTATCTTCTGAACTCAAACTCCCAACCAACATTCCCAGAGAGCCTTAGTAGCTTCCTTAGGTCTTCCCCAAGTCCCTCTGGGCTGAAAAGGAACATTAATCTGAGAACTTCTTGCAAGACTGACAGCAAGCCTGGGCTTAGACCTTCCTCTAATGCCACGATGACCACAGTGATCTCAGGCTCAGGGAACACAGTTAGTCAACTTAGAACTATTGGAAGGCCTTCTGAAGAAAGGCAGGTACAAACAAAGCCAGACTGTGAAAACTAAAATACTTAATCCTTCAACATAAAAACATTGTCAGACATCTGAAAGCATCAGAAACATACAAGGAAAATATAACACTACAAATGGACAAGGTACCAGAGAATGACCCTAAATTGATGGAGATATGTGATCATTCAGGCAAATAATTCAAAATAGCGGTTTCAGGAAGCTCAGCAAACCAGGAAAACACAGAGAATCCCAATTAAGAAATGTATCAGAGGTTTTTAATAGACAAGTTGAAATGGTAATTTTAAAAACTGAACAAATATTGGTGCTTAAAAGTACAGTAAATGAAATGAAAAATGCAATAGATATCAACAGCAGAATTGATTAAATGGAAGAATCAGCAAGCTCCAAGACAGACTATTGAAAATATGCAACCAGAAGAGAAAAAAAATAATATACTCAGGAGGTTGAGGTGAGAAGACAGCTTGAGCCAGGAAGTCAAGGCTACAGTGAGCTGTGATCACACCACTGCATTGCAGCCTCGGTAACAGAATGAGATCTGCTCCCCTCCCACCGCCCAAAAAATAGCCTATTAGAAAAATAATTATTCCTTCTGAACTTTATACAAATAATCAGGCCAAGAATAATAAATGAATTGGTCTTACCATAATTTGTCTTCAGGAAAAACAGAAGACTGGAGAGAGAAAAATTATATTCTAAAAACTATGATATACCTGTTATAAATTCTAATCTCATCAGTTATTTTTGAGTTTTTTCTGTAATTTAGACTGTCTCTGCTTATTCCTGTGAATCAACCGGTGATCTCTGATTGCAGCTCAGAAGAAACAAGAGGAATGGGTAATGTGAAAATCAATATTCTAATTCTGGGCACATATTGGATTGGCTAGCATCTCTATGTAAGCTTGTGTTCCAATAGTTTTCCTGTTCATAGAAAGCCTTCTTATTTAGTTCACTTGGGAGAATTTTAATTATTTTGCTTTACTGTTGTGGAACATATTGCCATTGTACTCTTTATGTAGAAATGCAGGAAAAGCGCACTCAATGTTTTCTTAAACAGTTATTAATCTTCCAGAAATCACCTTTTGTCAGAACTCAAGAATTATGAGTGGCCTTCCACATACCGATACTTTCTGACTAAGCTCCTCTCTACCCTGAATACATGCAATCTTAGTAGTTAGACAGGAACATCACCCCTATTCAGCCTAAAGAATTTACAGAAGAGGGATCTTTGTCCTTCTACAACTCTTAGGATTAAGGGTTTCCTTGTAAAAGGAAGGAGGGAAAGGTCAGAGGCATTGGAACCATAGCAACTTCATCCTGAATAGGGGCTAGGGAAAATAAGGCTGAGACCTACTGTGCTGCATTCCTAGGAGGCTAAGGTATTCTAAGTCATAGAATGACATAGGATGTCAGCACAAGGTACAGGTTACAAAGACCTTGCTGATAAAACAGGTTGTGATAAAGAAGTTGGCCAAAACCCACCAAAAACAAGATGATGTTCATCCTCACTGCTTGTTATATGCTAATTATAATGTATTAGCATGCTAAAAGACACTCCTACCAGCACCATGACAGTTTACAAATGCTATGCCAACATCAGGAAGTTACCCTATATCACCCCTTTCCCGGAAAACTCATGAATAATCTTCCCCTTGTTTAGCATATAACCAAGAAATGACCATAAAAGCAGCCAGCCAGCAGCCCTCAGGGCTGCTCTGACTATGGAGTAGTCATCCTTTATCCCTTTACCTTATTAATAAACTTACTTTCACTTAAAAAAAAGGTTTTTAAACAAGTGAAAATGGAAACAACATACTAAAACCTGTGGTATACAACAAAAGCAGTACTAACAGGGAATTTTTTAGCAATAAATGCCTATATCAAAAAAATAGAAAATTTTCCAATAAACAACCAATTGTTAAACCTCAAGTAACTAGAAAGGCAAGAACAAACTAAACTCAAAATTAGTAGAAGAAAAGCAGTAATAAAGATCAGAGCAGGGCCAAGCACAGTGGCTCATGCCTGTAATCTCAGTAATTTGAGAGGCCAAAGCAGGCAGATCACTTGAGGCCAGGAGTTTGAGACCAGCCTGGCCAACATGGTGAAACCCTGACTCGACTCTTAAAAAATACAAAAAAATTAGCTGGGCATGGTGGTGCACACCTGTAATCCCAGCTACTCAGGAGGCTGAGGTAGGAGAATCGCTTGAACCTGGGAGGCAGCAGGGAGCCGAAAAAAAGCCACTGTACTCCACCCCCGGGAAAACAAAAAGAGACCCCATCTAAAAAAAAAAAAAAAAAAAAAATTAGAACAGAAATAAATAAGAGACTAAAAATTATACAAAAGATCAATAAAATAAAATATTGTTATTTTGAAAAAGATAAACAAAACTGACAAAACTTTAGTTAGACCAACTAAGAAAAAAGTTAGAAAACCCAAATAAGTGAAATCAGAAGTGAAAAAGAAAACATTAAAACTGATACCACAGAAATACAAAGGATCATTACAGACTACAATGAACAACTTTATACTAACAAATTGGAAATCCTCGAAGAAATTAACAAATTCCTGAATACATATAACCTACCAAGATTGAACCATGAAGAAATAGAAAACCTGGACAGACTAATAATGAACAAGATTAAAGAAGTATTAAAAATAACCCCATCAAAGAAAGACACAGGACCTGATGGATTCACTGCTGAATCTTAGCAAACATTTGCAGAAGAACTAATACCAATTCTATTCAAATTATCTCCCAAAATTGTAGAAGAGAGAATACTTCCAAACTCATTATATGAGGCCATTACCTTGTCACCAAAACCAGACAAGGACACAACAACAGCAACAAAAGAAACAACAGACCAATATTCCTGATTAACATAGATACAAAAATCCTCAACAAAATACTAGCAAATAAAATTTAACAACACATTAAAAATAGCATTCACTTTAATCAAGTGAAATTTTTCTCAGGAATGTAAGAATGATTCAACATAGGCAAATTAATCAATGTGTTACATCTCATCAACAGAATGAAGGACAAAATAAATGATCATTTCAATTATTGCTGAAAAAGCATTTTATAAAATTCAAATATCACTTTATAATTTAAAAAATCTCAAGAAATGAAAAAATATTACATGCTCATGGATTGGACAAATTAATATTGTTTAAACTGTCTATACTACCCAAAGCAACCTACAGATTCAATGCAATTTCTAACAAAATACCAATGGTATTCTTCACAGATAATAATCCTAAAATTCATATGGAATAAAAAAGGCACTGTATAGCTAAAGCAATTCTAAGCAAGTAGAACAAATCTTTAGGCATTACATTACCAGATTTCAAACTGTACCATAAAACTATACTAACCAAAACAATATGGTACTATTTATGATATTGACATAAAAACAGACACATAGAATAACGGAACAGAGTAGAGACACCAGAAGTAAATCTATACACTTACAGCCAACTCATTTTTGGTAAAAGTGACAGGAGTGTATATTTGAGAAAAGACAGTATCTTTAATAAATACTGCTGGGAAAATTACATAACCATGTGCAAAATAATGAAACTAAATCCCCAACTTTCACTATATATAAAAATCAAGTCAAAGTGGATTAAAGACTTAAATTTAAGCCCTGAAATTATAAAACTACTAGAAGAAAATATTGGGGGAAACAACATAGCACATTGGCCTGGGCAAAGATTTTTTTGGGGTAAGACCACAAAAGCACAAATAAGAAAAGCAAAAATAAACACATGGAATTATATTAAGCTAAAAAGCTTCTGCAAAACAGACTATGGAATGGAAGAAATTTTTTGCCAACTATCCATCTGATAAGGAATTAATAAGCAAAATACATAAGTAATTTAAACAACTCAGTAGCAGAATGATAATAGTCTTATATTAAAATATTGGCAAAAGACCTGAATAGACATTTCTCAAAAGAAGACATACAAACAACCAACAAGTAAATGAGAAATGCTCAATATCATTGATCATCTGGGGAATGCAAATCAAAGTCACAATGAGATATCATCTCACTCCAGTTAGAATAGCTGCCATCAAAACAACAACAGATAACAAAAGCTGGTGAGGATATGGAGTAAAGGGAGTGCTTGTACACTTTTGCTAGGAATGTGAAATTATACAGTCATTATGGAAAACAACATAGAAGTTCCTCAAAAAGTTAAAAATAGAACTACCACATGATCCAGCAATCCCACTGCTGTGTATATATCCAAAAGAAAGGAAAGAGTTTATTGAAGAGGTACCTGTACTCCCATGTTTGTTGCAGCACTGTTCATAATAGCAAAGATGTGGAATCAACCTACGTGCCCATCAACAGATGAGTGAATAAAGAAACTTTAGTGTATATACACAATAAAATACTATTCAGTCATAAGAAAGAATAAAATCCTGTCATTTACATGGAACTCTAATTCATTATACAAAGGGAAATAAGCCAGGCACAGAAACACAAATATCACATGGTCCCACTCATATGCAGGAGCTAAGAAAGTGGAATTCATAGAGGTAGAGAGTACAGCAGTGGTTACCAGAGGCTGGGAAGAAAATAGTAAGATGAAGAGAAGTTGCTTAGTATGTACAAAAATATAATTAGTTAGAAAAAAATAAGTTCTGGTATTTGATAGTATAATAGGAAAACTATAGTTAAAAATAATTTACTGGCCGGGCGCGGTGGCTCAAGCCTGTAATCCCAGCACTTTGGGAGGCCGAGGCAGGTGGCTCACGAGGTCAAGAGATCGAGACCATCCTGGTCAACATGGTGAAAACCCCATCTCTACTAAAACTACAAAAAATTAGCTGGGCATGGTGGCGCATGCTTGTAATCCCAGCTACCCAGGAGGCTGAGGCAGGAGAATTGCCTGAACCCAGGAGGCGGAGGTTGCGGTGAGCCGAGATCGCGCCATTGCACTCCAGCCTGGGTAACAAGAGCGAAACTCGGTATCAAAAAAAAAAAAAAAAAAAATTACTGTATATTTCAAAATAGATACAAAAGAAGAATTGTAATTTTCCCAACACAAAGAGAAAAAGATAAATGTCAGAGGAGATATATGTCAAAATTACCCTGATTTTATCATTACGCATTATAAATTCCTATATCAAAATATCACATGTGCCCTATTAAAAATATATATCAATTAAAAAGTACAACAAAATAAAATTGGAATGTGTCTAAAACTGATGGTGTCTTATAATTGCTGTGGCCTGGTGGCAGCTGTAATGTCATTGCCTGCTCGAATGCAAATATCAAAAGCAACATCCTCAAAACTTGCAAAATGGGTATCCACAGCTTGGAAGAAAGTCCCAGATCAATGAGTGAAGCATTATTTGAAATAATGCTGTGACATCAATTTTCCAAATGGTACAAAGGATGATATGAGAAATGGTAGGGATGTGGATGGCTGAGTCCAAACATGATCCAGAAAATGTAAACAATTAGTTATGTTCATTTTAAAGGTATGCATAAAATGGACATATAATTTTACAAACTGTCAAAAATGACTTATAAAGCTCTTCCAGTCTGTATAAAATACAATGCAAATTTATATGAAAACATTATCATTTTACTGGCAGCATTTTTCTCTCGTTTATATCAACAATAATCATCAATCTGACAATCAGTGGCATCTTAGAAACAATGAAATAGCTAAATGTCTAGTTGGTTTTGTTTGTTTTGTTATCATTTTTTAAAAATCGTGTTATCCTGAATACTTCAGCATACTCTCCTAAAAATAAAGACATTCCCCTATGAAATTGTGATAATCTTATCACATCTCAAAAGCTGAGCGCTACTCCCATAATGTCATCCAACATCCAGCCCATGTTCAAATGCCTTCAATTGTTCAAAAAGGTCTTTCATATGTTTAAACCAATATTCAGTCAAGTCTCCTGCATTGTATTTGACAAAAATTGTTCTTATTAGCACTGTGTAATAACAACTCAGTAGAGACAAATTTATTTTACCCCTCCCCCTGAATCTTTCTTCATCTTGTTTTTTATTTTATGGAACTCACTCAAAGTAAGGAATATTTAGCAGCCTTATATATATTTAAAAAAAAAAAAAAAAAAGGAAGGATGAAGAAAGAAGAAAAGGAAGAAGGGAGAAGGAAGAAGAAGAAGAAAGCACTGCTCATTTGGCATCCGTATTTTCTTTTACTGAGTTTTTTAATCCTTCTGAGGTAAAATTAAATGAAAGGCCATTTCAAGCAACTTTGGTTTGCAGCAGGACCAGGTTGTTCTTAATGCACCAATTAAATTCCTCTCTGGGGTAATGTACTTATGTACAGGAGAGGTCCCAGATATCTGAACACGGGTTGCCTTTTGATAGCTCAGTATACTATTCTCTGAGTGTTAGGGGTTTGGGTAATTTTGAGTAACCTCCTTATTTTTATGAAATATCCAAATCTTCCTGTTACCACTTTGAAAATAGCTCCCTCCACATTTCCTTTAGATTGGAGTTGGTGCTTTGAACATGATGTTCATATCTCTGGAAAGAACAGCCTTTCTCGATGAATAAAAATATTCCTCTTCAAAAAAGAACTTGCTGTTCCATTATTATATAAAATGTTTCAGTGCTGGTGTGAAAAGAATGTATAGACTTGTGGGTAGTGTATGGACTAAAAAACAAAACAAATTGAGTGTTCCAGATAGGAAGGAGCACTGCATATTTTTATTGTGCTTCTCATTTATCTTAGAGCGAAATAAAATGAGATGGGCGGGTGGTAAATGAAATTTAAAAACCATATAGTCTCATACCTAATGTAAAGTATAATAATACTTTATTGAAATTGCCTGGCAACCCTAGCTAAGTGAGTTGTATGTTTCTATTTTAAGTTTTTCAGAATGAATTTTTTTTTTTTTTTGCTTCTAGTTCTATGTAGGGCTTTCTGTAAGATGTCTAAAGAGTAGAATTCTATATGAGTAAAGTTTTACTGCTTATATTTTTTTAAAAAAAAGAATGGTAATAACTGCGGCGATAATTTTGTTAATTAGCTGAATTTAATCATTTCACATTTTAAACATATATCAAAACATCACATTGAACACCATAAATATATGCAACTATTATTTGTAAATTAAAAATAAAATTAGGAAAGAAAAAAATATATATTGGGAGGCCGAGGTGGGTGGATCACGAGGTCAAGAGATCAAGACCATCCTGGTTAACATGGTGAAACCCCGTCTCTACTAAAAATACAAAAAATTAGCTGGGCATTTTGGTGTGTGCCTGTAATCCTAGCTACTCAGGAGGCTGAGGCAGGAGAATTGCCTGAACCCAGGAGGCGGAGGTTACGGTGAGCCGAGATCGCGCCATTGCACTCCAGCCTGGGTAACAAGAGCGAAACTCCGTCTCAAAAAAAAAAAAAAAAAGAAAACAATATATTCCTTTTTCAGCTTCTATGAGCAATAAACTAACCAGAAATATATAATACAGGGTGATTTCTGATCACTGATTTAGTATGACACCTCTATTATGTAGATTCACTTAAGTCAACTATTTTCACAATGAATAGGTCTTAATTTCCACACAACTGACATGTCATTAAATATAATAAAAAACAATTTCTGTTAACAAACATCTTGCCTTTCTTCTGTTTCTATTATACTCCTAAATGGAAAAAAATTATTCAAAAATGTGATCTTGAAATAGAAGATTTCTAGATAATATGTCTATGAGTTATTATCACTGCCTAAGCATGGGGCATCTCAATGAATAAGACAGGTCAAGGCCATTTCTATTTTTTCAAGTTTGCAGTTGCAAAATTTTAAAAATGCCAAAATATGGTTATGAAACTGATATATGTTAAAGATTTACATTTAACAAATTCTTGTGTTCTAGAAAATTCAATGGGACATGTGACCTATCTTGGAGACAATTTCAAAAATATGTTTTTGAAGCCCAACATTATGAAACACCCTAGACTCTCAACTTCCAGTCTCTTAATAAGCTGTGCTAACCATACATTCACTTCATTAAATACATAGACTTTTGATACCTCTATATCTTCACCTCCTGTAAACTATTTGTTGTAACTCCCTCATCATGTTTGTATGTAAACATGCGCCATGGTAAAGTACCAAACGTTGACATCTACAGCAATTTAAAAAAATTGAAAAAAAATGTGTCAGAATATTATGCTACACAACTTTTGCTAGGGAAAATAATTTTCTGTGTTAAGCATAGCGTTTTAATTCCACAGATACCATGAAAAATTATGTGCAAATAAATTAGTTTTAATATCCACAGACATACTGATATTTCATCATTTTTTTAATTTACAAAGAAAATTTTTCTTTTTCTTTTTTATTACACTTTAAGTTCTGGGGTGCAGACCGTGCAGATTTGGTACATAGGTATACACACGCCATGGTGATGGTTTGCTGCATCCATCGCCCCCTCATCTACATTAGGTAAAGGAATAAGTTCCCTCAGTTCCCTGATTTTTACCCATCTCTGTCCATCAATAAACATATCTCTATTTCCACTCATTCTTATCATCTCTCTCCAGTATCACAATAAGGTTTATCTTATATCAAGTCCCCACATAATCCTTCCAACTGTGCTTTAAATCTTACTCTCTTCTTCCTTGGAGACCTCACAAGATCCTCTTCTTTTGGTATTTTCAACAGCTCCCTTTGCTACTTTCTTTCCCGTCACATAGAAATAAATATAAATCTCGCTTTCATTTAAAAAAAAAAAAAGCTGTAATTTCGGGGTCTCCCAGCCATCAACTAATTGTCCTGATTTCCCCTTAACTAATTTTTAAATAGGTAATCTACACTTTCTCCTTCTCTTTCTGCTCTCACCCTAGAGCTGTAAAATTTCTGTATCTTTCTAGGGAAATTGTTCTCACAGGTTGAGCAGTTATTCCATTATTTCTAATAAAATGAACACTTGTCAGCCTTGATTTTACTTTATGAATATGTAGACATCTGGACCAAATTTTATTGAAATTGTCTCCTGTAAGCCTTCTATAATATAATTCTTGCCTGTTTTTCCATCAGTATCTGTGGTCATTTTTCAACCTCCTTCACAGATTCAATTTCTTTCAGTTAAGTGAAGGTATTTCTCAGAGTTCCATCTTTGTTCTTCCTTTCATTTCATTGTATTCTGTTTCCCTGGGTGGCACCATCGACTCTTATAATTTCAAATATACTGTACTGATGAAGCACAGATCTATGTTTCTAACCTTGATGGCTAAATGCCCTTTATGCTTTTCGGTCTACTTATTTCAGGGTGACAAAATCACTCAGTACTTTACTACCATATCTCCTCCGTTATCAATGAGTGGAACCACCACCTTTCCTAACCCAGAACACAGAAATTATGCTGAACTCTTCCCATTCCCTTGTTTTTCACAAATCACTGAGTCCTCATGAGGCTACCCACAGATGGTCTCTTTGATCTGTCAGATGCTCTTCACCTGCACAGCTCCTGACGCTTCCCAACCCTGCCACTTATATCAGTAACTTAGCTCCTCTCCCTGCCCCCAGCTTCATTGCCTTCAATATTTTCACCACAAAAATAACAAGATGATCCTTCTAAAATGCAGAGCCAGTCAAGCTATTTCCCATTTCCTCCCATGCTTAAAACAGGCCATTGAATTCCCCATCTTCAGAATAAAATATCGACTCCTGAGCTTGGCCCTCCACAGTCTGTCACTGCCGATTCCTACAGCCTCATCTTACGAAATTTGCCTTGTAGCCCACATTTTAGTCATACTGAAATGCATATACTGAGTACTGACATTTCAATCAGATTGAAATGAATGTTTTGAATGAATTTCTGGGGAAAAATATGCTCTTTTAAACATTTGCACTTCTGCACATCCTCCTCATTTGACTCAGCTTGAACATCACCCAGGAAGCTGTGCCTGTTTTCTCTTAAGGGACTGAGAAAATTCTCTGTTTGTGTATTCTCATACAACCACATTGAACTAATCTCAGCTACAACATCATTTTATTATTTTATATAGTCAAATATGTGTTCCCTAGACAGCTAGGTTCGATGTTCCTTGAGGTTGTGGAGCATATTTTCTTCTTCCTACCCACATTGTCTTTTGCAATGTCTGGCACATATTTGTACTCTATCAATGTTGAATGAATGAACTCAAGCAGTACTTACTAGTACTCTTTTATGGTTAGTAATGTGATGAAGCATGCACATGATCTAATTTAAACCTAAAAGTGTTTCACCTTGTATAGATGCATAGAGAGATGTAGAAACAGAAAACAAATCACAAATCTCTTAAGATGGTCTTTTTATTGTAGATACTAACATCCTTTTCCTTAATTTTACATGTATGCCCACACAAACACATAATGTTTCTCATTCTGTAGAAATACAAAATGCTCTGTTAGAGAGCATCAGGCAAACTAAATTATTTAAAGTAATTCTGTGAAGGAGAAAGACTGTTATTGTAATTAGGCACATGTAACTAGAACATGCTAGGCCAAATAAGTCTTAGGTAAGGAAAAGGTATTCTATTGATATTTTTGGGAGTATAATTCTCTTTAAATAATATTATTTTTAAAAGAAACGATATATAGAGAGCTCATTAAGACGTTATTTTACTTTTTAAAGCGTTTATTTTAGATTCAGGGGTACATGCACAGCTGTGCTATATAGGTAAATTGTATGTCGCAGGGGTTTAATGTACAAATTATTTTGTCACTCAGGTAATTAGCATAGTACCCAATAGGTAGGCTTTTGATCCTCATTCTCCTCCCACCCTCCACATTCAAGTAAGCCCCAGTGTCCATTGTTCCCTTCTTTGTGTCCACATATACTTAAGGTTTAACTTCCACTTATAGAAGGGGGATGTGCAGTATTTGATTTTCTCTTCCTGAATTAGTTTGCTAAAGATAATGGCCTCCAGCTCTATCCATGTTCCTGCAAAAGACATGATCTCATTTTTCATGGCTGCATAGTATTCCATGGTATCTGTGCACCACATCTTCTTCATTCTATTTACCATTGATGGGCAGGTAGGTTGATTCCATGTCTTTGGTATTGTGAATAATGCTGCATTGAACATACACATGCATGTGTCTTTATGATAGAATGATTTATATTCCATTGGGCATATAGCTAGTAATAGTATTGCAGGGTTGAATGGCAATGTTTTAAGTTCTTTGAGAAATCACCAAACTGCCTTCCACCATGGCTGAACTAGGTTTTATCCCCACGAGCACTGCATAAGTCTTCCCTTTTTCACAGCCTTTCCAGCGTCTGTTATTGTTTTCCCTTTTTAGTGATATTCATTCTGGCTGGTATGAGATGGTATTTCATTGTTCTTTTGATTGGTATTTCTGTAATTATCAGTGACATTGATTTTTTTTTCATATGACTGTCAGCTGCTGATATGTCTTCTTTTGAAAAGTGTCTGCTTATGTCCTTTGCCCACTTTTTAATGTGGCTGTTTTCTTTCTTGTAAATTTGTTGAAGCTCCTTAGAGATTCTGAATTTTAAACCTTTGTCAAATACATAGTTTGTCAAAATTTTCTCCCCTTCTGTAGGTTGTCTGTTTACTCTGTTGACAGTTTCTTTTGCTGTGCAGAAGCTCTTTAGTATAATTAGGTACCATTTGTCAATTTTCAGTTTTGTTGCAATTGCTTTTGGCATCTTTGTCATGACTTCTTTGCCAGGTCCCACATCCAGAATGGTATTTCCTAGGTTATCTTCCAGGGATTTTATAGTAAACCATTATTTTAAATAATCAAATGCATTTTTGAGACTTCCAGGATTATTAAAAATAACATATTTCAACCTCTTTATATATTAAAGAAAAGCAATTAAGACTCATAGGGTAAAAGCGGCTTGCATAAAATTGTACAGCTTAAAAATGGAAAGTCAAAAAATGTTGGAACATTAAAAATTAAGTATGGCTCATTCCTTCATTGTAAATGATAGGTTTAATTTAAAATACTGTGGCCTCTAGGATTTTCTCTGCAACTTTAAAGCCTCAGTTAGATTTTTAAAACCAAAATGAGGAGCAGTGATTCTATGTAGTACCCACTCATGATTGACTATTTTATTTGACAATTCTATTTATTTTATTATCACTTTATATACAAATTTAAAAACAAATTTATCACTTTGAGTGTAATGGGTGTTGTAGGGGCAGTTTACATGTCATCTGCTTTCAGCATTAAGCTCCTGACAAGAAGAATCCCAGGAAATACAACTTATGTGCCATTAAAGCATCAGGGTCTCTTAATAAAGTACAAACCTAAAGCTAGATAAGGCCAACCAGCACTTTATCACTCTGAGGAAAACTAAACCACAAAAAGTAATATCTGGAAAAACTAAGCTTTTCTCCAGTTCTACCACTCTAGGGCTCTTTACTCCCAGTAATATAGAGATACTATATCTGACACACAGAATCTGGGTCAAGAAATGATTTTTTAAGCGGCATAGAATTGTCTGTAGTAAGATCATTTCCACTCCTACTGCATTGTTCTTTTCACCGATGCTAATTCAATACAGACAATGCAAACTAACTTTAGATCTCACTTTTAATTATTTTAAATGAGGTATTATATGATGAGCAACAGTTGAGGCATTTTAGATGAATTTTACTGACTCAGGTCACTAAGTACTCTTCCTTGTTTTCCTGAAATGTTTTATATTCTAGAAAATATCTGCTGTTCATGTTTAATCTTACAATTACTTATTCTTGTTCATAATGGTAATGAAAACAATTTCTACAACTTACATTATGTGACACACAGTTCACAAAGTGCTTTCATATAGATTTCACACAATCTCCACAATCCTATAGTATTTTTATTTTTTTATTTCACAGAGTGTTAGGAAGTTCAGGGTGTTACCTTAATTTGGAAGTTCACATAATTATTAGCTGGTAGATCCTGAAATTGATCTTATATTTTCAGACACCAAGTCCAGTGTTCTTTCCACTACTTAATTCTGTGATATTGTTGAGGACATAATATTAGAAATAGAGTAACACAGTTTTTTTCAAATAAAGTTATTCAAAGCATATCAATTTTGGCTTCTAATTGTATTTTCTTTATCAAAATATGCTTCTATTCTAAGAAAAAAGTTTCCAAATTTCGGATTCACTAAAAAAAAAAATAGCATTAAATAAAAGATAAATAAACTGAAAAGAAAGAAGAGAAAAGAAAGGAAGGAAAAAAGGAGGAAAGAAAAAGGAAAGAGGGAGGGAAGGTGGGAGGGGAAAAAGGGAGGAATGAAGGAAGGAAGGAAGGAAAAAAGGAAGGAAGGAAAGGGAGGGAGGGAGGGAGGGAAGGAGGGGAAGGGAAGGGAATAAAGAGGAAAGATGGTGGAAGGAAAAGGAAAGAAAAAGGAGAGAAAAAAGGAAACATCAGGCATTTCATTGCCATGAAAATTGTACATTAGATATTTAAACAGTCCACCTTTTAAACTCTCTACCTCTTCTTAGCAAACCCCATGAAAACTTATTTGTATGTAAATATGTATGGTGTTCTAGGGCAAAGAACATAAAGCTTTTATCCATAATAGTCCATGGTAGTGTTACCAAAGGAGACCACTATCTGAAATAAGGAACTATTTGTGCAGGAGATGTAGAAAATAATAGAGCAAACTCTTCTAGGAGTAAAGAAGAAGCTAACAGATCAGTTGCTTCTTCTTTACTCCAAGAAGCAACTGAGGGCGGAGGGAGGGATTTATGAAACTCATGGAATTTGAACTGAGCCTTGAAAGATAGACTGAATTTCAAGAGGAAGCAGGGAAAAGAGGGCATTTTATGCTAACAGAAAAGCAGGAACAAATAATATAAGAGAAAAATGAGTATTTTGGAAAGCAGATGTTTCAACATCTGTTGAACGGTTCGGGTGAGTGGGAGTGCTTAACAGGGGGCACTGATCAGAAAGCAAGTCAATTTTCAAGCCCCATTCCTGGTTTCCCACTTTGTAGTTTCTCTTGGTTCTTCTATATAAAGGATAGGCCATAGTTCTATTCTGTTATAGAAGGACTGTAACTGCTTGTTAAGTTAATCTATGCACACTTCCTACCTCACTGTAATAAACTTTTGGTAATTTCTTCCACTAAAGAAATCAAATTATTTTCCTGTAAGAATATAGCCAGAGTATTTCTCAAAGAATATTAGGCAAAAAAGGATAATGCTTGCCTTTGTTATTGTAGATTCTAATTATAACCCTTTTTAACAAGCTGAGTTAACATCCCCATCTAGCCCATTCTTGTTTCTCTTTGCGTGTGTTTTACTCATTAATCCACCTGAAAGTTTTCCAATTCATAGAATTCAAGAAAACTAGGTTAATAAAACATGTGTCAATAGTAATTTTATTTTATCTCTAAATTTATTTAAATGTATTTTTTCAATACTGTCTCAGTCCAGCCCTTTACAGATTTGTAAAGAAAGAATTGACTATTAAGTGGAAGTAACTTTAGAAACAAGATTCATTGGTTACATGAGCTCTAAATTCCTTCTCTAAAAATTCTGCTTTATACGTTCTCAAATTATTTTCTCTTTAGAGGAAAATAATTTGTTACATACTTGGTTCTTTTTAAATTGATTTAATATGTTTGCTAGATTATTAGATGGTTTGTAGTTGCAACTTATGTGGAGATTCAGTTCTAACATCAGCACAGAAGGTGAAAATCCCATTTACTAATTATCAAATGCTAATTTAAAATAGTCTCTACCAAAGATAAACAAATGGAAACTAATAAATTATAGAATAAAAATGCATTGAGTTACAAATTATTAAAGTGCCATTTGATGAAACTTTATTATATATATATTTAATTGCAGGAAACTGCACTGATAGTGTATAAATAGAAAGTATACTAAGAAATTATATTCTTTGTGTCAAAAATTGTTGAAATTGTGCTGATTTATTATCCAGTTTCTCTTACCTCTAAACTCATTCTATACTCCGTGATGCTGGGGCTCAAAACACAGCAAACTATGATTCCCAGTTTGGGAACTGAATTTCTGCCAGCAGGCAGCATAACAGAGTAACAGTGGGAGATGGGGGGAGAGGGACAAGGAGCTTCTTCCTGCCTTGCTTCTTTCCTTTGGAGCTGTGCTTCCCTTGGTCAAGCCTGCAACTTCTTTCTGTATTTGCTAAACCAGCCACATAGTTCCTTTGTCTCCACTGTTTCTTCTTTATCCCAGGCTCTTCCTGTACCTACTATTCTAGGTCACCAGTATTACCTTTCTGCTCTTTCAGCTCATCAGTATCTGTGTCATAATATCCCAAAGCAAATCGACTCTATTTTAAATTCCTAATATGGTTTCCATGTTCCCATCAGGACTCTGACTTACACTAGAAATGATTTCCAAATGTACGCTAGTCCGATGCTTTGGCATCTTCTACAATAAACACAAAATAAGGATGAAGAGAAGATTCAGAGAAAGCCAAAGACAGTGTCTCACCCTTTGAAACCAAAAAAGAGTACAGACACAATACTGAATCCAGTGAGCAAAAATGTATTCTCTGAAGTTACCCAAGGCAAAACAAAATTGTCCAGATGTCAATCACTCCGAGACAAGGAAGTTAGAGGAGGGTAATTTTATAAGAGAGCTTTCCACTAAACAGTAGGCCAAAAGGGTGGCAGGTAGGGTGGGGGGAAGGAGGTAAAGATGAAGAATGATTTTATCTTCTTCACTTTGAGAGCTCTGACATTATTTTATGCTTTTCAGCTTCAAAAATTGCCTTGTTCATAAAAGTTTCATGGGTAATTTAGGTATTTTCTGCAAAAAAATACAGAATATATAATGAGTTTTGGAGTTCAGAAGTTTTCTCCATTAGCAACCAATGTCTAATTCCTCTCAAAAAGGCACCTCAGATATTTTGGTCCCTTTCAGCTACTTGCATTCTCATTCAAGTGAATAACTAAACGAAAACTGAACACCATCATTTTAATGTACCCTTGAGAATAAAGGCAATGTTATTTTAAATGTTAAATATTTTAGTTCCAGAAACCAACATGGTGCTTACATTTCTCTTAGAATAAAGAAAATAAATATCTCTACTTGGCCACCCATTAAGGTATACTTGGGCCACAATTTTATGGCAACTCCCAGCATAAGCCATTGACAAGTGAGTTGTAACACAGTTGTTCTAAGGATTCCAATAATCACAGTGACAATGAAACCTCACTGAATACTGCTGACACAAGCAACATATAGCCAATTAAAAGTAGCCAAGGACTTAGCCAGGCACAGTGGCTCACGCCTGTAATCTCAGCATTTTGAGAGGCTGAGGCGGGTAGATCACCTGAGGCAGGAGTTTGAGACCAGCCTGACCAACATGGAGAAACCCCATCTCTACTAAAAATACAAAATTAGCCAAGCATGGTGATGAGTGCCTGTAATCCCAGCTACTTGGGAGGCTGAGGCAGGAGAATCGCTTGAACCCGGGAGGCAGATATTGTGGTGAGCTGTGATCATGCTATTGCACACTCCAGCCTGGGCAACAAAAGTGAAGCTCCATCTCCAAAAAAAAAAAGTAGCCAAGGACCTCTTAAATAGGGAGACATGTAAATCCTACAGATGTTAGAAATAAACTGAACTTCCCTACTCATCTATAATTGTGTAGGCAGATAAATTAGTTCTTTATATTGATATATTTAGAGGCAGATTATTCCAGGAAAATAGTTTGGGCTCTGCTCTTTCTGTTGTTGTTTTTTTAATCAAATACAATAATATCATTTCATATCTTTAGAAGAATGTACAAATCCTTTCCACATCTCTTATCTATCTTGATCCACACAGAAGCAATACTCTGACTTGACAGGCAAATAAATACATGCTCATGGAGGTGGAGCCTCAGGCTTGATCCCACAGATGTTCAACAAGAGTCAGTACCAAGCAGTCAGAATCATCAGAAAGCTGGGAAATGTGGTCATCAGTATTCTCAAACAAAAATGGTATACTCAGGGTTTAAGTTCTAATGTTTCAAGGGAAAAATAAGTTTTACTACATATGTCAGAGGATAAATAATTTCAGCCAGACCCAAGCAAGATTTTTGTCCTATATTCACAAGGAAATAAAACCAAATTATCAAGCTACATACACTCCTTTGGAGCTAAAGTCTTTCTCGCAAAGTAGAAAGTCCAAATAATGAGAATTATGACTTAACATGACCTGAAACTCTCCTTGGATTACTTACATATAACAGATGTTAATGGCATTCTACAAGCTAAAAAGCAATATAAACTAAAGCAGAACTACAGGAGATAAGCATTTTCAAGATCTCAGCATAGTTTAGACCAGTGGTTTTCAAAATATGGTTCCTGTACCAGCAGCCTCAGTTTTAGGCCCCCGTAACAAAATACCTAAGCTAACTGGCTTGTAAACAACAGAAACTTATTTCACTCAGCTCTCAAGGATGAGAAGTTCAAAATTAAGGAGCTGGCAAATTCGGTGTCTAGTGAGTGTCTGCTTCCTGGTTCATAGCCAGCTTCTCACCATATCTTCACATGGAGGAAAGAGAAAGGGAGCTCTGTTGGACCTCTTTATTATAAAGTCACAAGCACATTTATGAGAGATTCACCCTTATAATCTAGTCATCTCCCAAAAACATGAACATTAGGACTCAATAAATGAATTTGGGGGAAACACAAACATTTTATATATAGCGTTCAGCATCAATTGGATACTTGTTAGTAAAGCAAATTTCAGAGACCTACTGAGTCATTAATTTTGAGGAGGTACCCAGAAATTGATATTTTACAAATATCAATTTGCCTCCAGGTAACTGTGATGTATGTTTAAGATTCAGAACCTCTGGGGTAACGGAAAAAAATATCTCAAGGTCATATTTGCATTAGTAAACAGACTCAACTGTCTGCTGGGTCACATTGGGTAAAGTTATTTATCATATTGTAAATTTCTTCTTCAGCAAAATCAAAATAATATTTTCTCTCTGTGTTATTTTCAAATTTTAAATAATCATCACAGCCAGTGTTCCTCTGCTAAAAACTCAGCCCAGAAGTGCCCCAATGAGAGAACAGAATCAAACAACCACTCCACAAGAACATTACTACTAAAATGAAATTACATGGACACCTGCTTCAACTTGAGCAAAGTCTGGGCCATAAAAGTTTAAAAACCACAGAGACTGCCAAAAGACTCCACACAGAGAGGACCACTCTGTAAGAAGACCAAGCATGGTTTATGCATTGAGGTAGAACTCAGGCCTCATCCATATTGCATTACTCCTTTGGAGAGTGAATGCACAAGATTTCAGGCCATAAATAATTTACCTAAACACCACAGATCTTCTAAGTATTAGGGCTGTTCTTTCAAATAGACCAAAACCTGTGAAAATTTGCCAGAGACAGCCAGCCATGCCCAGAAGCAAAAGCCGTTCTTTAATGAGAGCCAGGCCAGCAATGGAATTGCAATGGCATTCCAGGACTAATCTCATTCCTGGAAATGGGATTTTCTCATGCTCTTCCCACAGAGTCTAGAGGGCCTCAGACCCTCACCCTAGGTCTTCCTAATGGCTTCTAGAACAGATCTAATCTTGCTGGTCTCTAGCTTCAGAAATCTAACTTTTCAGAATCTCATCCACACAATTCCAACTGTTTTTTCTGACCTCAGAGGGTTAGATTTAACTCTTTCTTCCTACCACAATGGAAGGAAGGGACACAGACACTATTCTCGGAGATAGGATCTCCAGGATTGATGGTTTCCCCAAAAGGTCCAGTGGCTGATAGAAGGAGCCTTTCCTTCTTTAAGAAAATTCCAGTGTGTCTTTAATTGTGAACATTTCCCTTCACTTGAAGCCCCCAAACCCTAAGATAATTCCTGGCATTAAGAGGACTTAGGGGCTGGGTGCAGTGGCTTACACCTGTAATCCCAGCACTTAAGGAGGCTGAGGCGGGCAGATCACAAAGTCAAGAGATCGAGACCATCCTGGCCAACATGGTGAAACCCCATCTCTACTAAAAATACAAAAATTAGCCAGGTGTGGTGGCACGTGCCTGTAATCCCAGCTACATGGGAGGCTGAGGCAGGAGAATTGCTTGAACCTGGGAGGCAGAGATTGCCCTGAGCTGAGATCATGCCATTGCCACTCCATCCTAGGCAACAAAAAGAAGACTTAGGGATCAGGCCAGGTGCAGTAGTCAAAACCTGTTATGCCAGCACTTTGGGAGGCTGAAGCTGGCAGATCACTTGAGGTCAGGAGTTCAAGATCAACTTGGCCAATATGGTGAAACCCCATCCCTACTAATAACACACACAAAAAAATAGCTGGGCGTGGTGGCAGGTGTCTATAATCCCACTTACTCGGAGGCTGAGGCAGGAGAATCAATCATACAAGAAGAGGTTGTAGTCAGTTGAGATCGCACCACTGCACTCCAGCCAGGTAAGAGAGCCAGACTCTGTCTGAAAAAAATAAAAATAAAAAATAATAATTAAAAAAAAGCTTTAGGGCTATAGAATTTGCTATGGTATCCACAATGTACCCACAATCTGTTCAGCTGCTTAGCAATACATCAGGCCATCTCTGAAAGGCTCCAAAGTTAAGAAATTCCAAATCATTTGTGAATTCTGATGGAGCCCAAAATTGTTTCTGTAGCTCACAGTAGGTATAGGAACACTCAGTGATTAACCCTAGGTCCTTCTCTGAAGGCCAGGTTATCCAGAAACCTCATGAGTTTCCTCCTCCATAACGAGAGGGTGTGTGCACCCTGGAGGCAGAATCAGCACCTGAGCTACTTCCAGGTTCAGAGACGGTGTCCAGGCTGCCCCCTAGAGCTGATTGCCCCCAGAAATCTTCTACTTCATCTTCTCATGGAAAAAAATCCCAGGGAGAGTATAGCCCTAACTGCCCCTGGAAGCACTGAAATCCAAGACAGAGATCCCAAAGATTTCTCTAGCTTTTCTGGAGAAAGTAGGGTCTATCACACGGCCTCAGCTTAGAACAAAACCCAGCAGTCATTAGCAATATTCCTATTGAGTTTATATATGACTGTGAAGATCTCAAGGTTAGCACAAAGATTCACAGATCAACTCTGGGTGAAGTTAATGCTATCAAGAATTAGGCATAAACCTGCAGTTATAGATTGTGTTGTGGCCACATTCAGAGACCCTTAATTCTGAGGCCTCTAGAAACTTGTTCTAGTACTTCTCTAGGACAGGGGAAAAGCCCTCTATATACCAACTCCTAGGCTTCAGAAGTTAATAATAATGAAACAGACAAAGTTTCTAGGGGAATTTGGCCAGCTTCTTGGGAAATGTTAACTTCATGTTAAAAAAAAACACCATATGTCTGAATATTTATCTCAGTGTCAGGTACCTGATGTTAGAGGTTTTCACTACAAAAACAAACAAGAACAACAAAATCTTACAGCTACCCCAAAACCCTATTATTCCCACAGTGAGACATCCAAAGAAGAAATGGCTCTATAAGGCATACACAGAGGGCTGAATGTTTGTGTCCCTCAAAATTCATATGTTAAAATCCTAGTTCCAAAGTGATATATTTAGAGGTGAGGACTTTAAGAATAATTAGGTCATGAGGGTGGAGCCCTGTTAAGAAGGATTAGTGCCCTTACAAAAGGAACCCTCTCACCCTCTTTCTGCCATGTGAGCCTACAATGAGAAATCAACAGTCTACAGTGGGAAGAGGGCCCTCGCCAGAACTCCACAGCGCTGGCACCTTGACCTTGGCATTCTAGCCTCCAGAACTGTGAGAAATAAATTTCTGTTATTAAAAGCTACTCAGTCCATGCAAGGTACTTGGTTATAGCAGCACAAGTTGACTAAGATAGTGCAGACCATCCCTCACAGTACAGAGGGCCTTCATTGGGTAAGACCCAAATGTCTTCCAAGGACCTGGGAATCTGCTTAGCCACCTTGTAGTCAGTCTCACAAAGGTTACTGTTACGTTTGCATCAGATTTATTACTTCCTTAACAAAGGTCCGCAAGACCAGCTATTTTTTCTTACCTTTACTCAAAAGTAAAATGTGTTTGTTATAACAATTCTAAAGGAAATACAGTTGTTTATAAAATAAAACTAGGTTTCTCCTTTCTCCACCTTCTCTGGGAAAATCTGATATTTATTTTTATATTATTTTCCATGATATATAAAACACATATAACTAATATATAGGATACTATGTAGAATAAATTATGTCATAAACATGCATACACACACATATTCAAGTGTTTCCAGGTTCATTTGTTTCACTTTGTCTTTTTAAATCAATGTTTCAGAAACTATTTTCCACCTTGTCTTTCTCCACCATCATTCTTACTCAATAATTTTCCTTTTCATTAGTAAGTTAGGTAATCATAAGGAACTTTCACAACAACCCTCCTACCAACAACTATATGCAGATTTTCTGCCTTCTTTCCTGTTCCTACGGCTGCCAGAACACTGTCTTCTCCTGGTTTTCTTCCTTTACAATGGGTCACTCGTTCTCAGTCTGGATTCCGGTTCCTCCTTATATTCCCAAGTTCTGAACTGCAGACTGCCTCAAGATTCATCCATAGACCTCTTATTTTCTCAAGAGGCATCACTCTCTAGCGATCTGGTCCAGTTTTGTGGGTTTCAGTGCCATATCTACACTGATGCTTCCAAATCTCCATATGGAACCTCTTTCCTAAACTTCAGAGTAATGTGTCGATTTGCCCACATCAGATCCCCACTTGGAGGGCTTAACAGGTCTCTCAAAGTTAGCATGTCTGATCTCCACTGTCTCCTCTCTCCAGTTGCTACTGTTGTTTCCATCATAGCAGCATTATAGTAAGTTTTACTAACTGTAATGCAGGAATCCTTCATTGTTATTTGCCAATATTTTCTTCAGGTTCTATTGAAAAATGGCATAAGTGCTCAGACGGGGTTCACAAAGATAAAATTTTGAGTAAGTCACTTCCCCTCTCTAGGACTCATTTGGAAAATCAGGTCAATAGTTTTCAGTTGTCTCATGGCAGTTGAGATATGCAGACTCTGGTTTTCACTTTCTCGGTGTTCCTGGAGATTGCTCTTACTTTAATTCAAGCTCTGGTACATTTCATCCAGATTCCCAGGTAGCAGGGTGGGGTGTGTGTGTGTGTGTGTGTGTGTGTGTGTGTGTGTGTGTGTATGTTTTACTTGAGAAAAACATAAATGAGTTGTTCTCTTTTGCAGTGGAATTACAAAGTTTCCAATTTAGATTCAGTGTTTGTTATTTTTAACTAGGGAAAATAAGAAAAAAAGTATTGTTAATTATATAAAGTATAGAGTCTTTCTCCCAAAGCTGATGATGGAAGAGGAAAAAGTAAAACCCTAAAAAAGAGCCCAGCTTTCCTTTTAAAATTTTCTATTCTTCATTGTTTTTATTTAGATGAAAACTCCTAATTAACAAATCACCTTTTGACACGCAATGACTGTCTTGGTATGGCCAAAATGCAATTATTTAGGCAACGAATTCATCATTGAATAAACATATAGCTACTTTTTCCCTTTAAATAGAAAGAACATATAGGGCATTTATCTCTTTAGGTTCTCTCTGTACCTGACTTCTGTTCTCTTTGGCACTTAATGCTTTTGCCTACAGGTTCATGACAAAGGTATATATATTCATCCAAACCACTCAGTTTGCCCATTTCTAGCAGCTACAGTAAAAATTCAAGTGTTAAAGTAGATGACAACTATTGACTAAAGCTTGAGGAAACAGGAATAGTTTGTTTCAATTCTTTTTCTCTGTCAACTAAGAAAACCAAAATACAACGGAAATCATTGAATTGCTGATTAAGCAATGTTAAAATAGACACTAAAATTTTGCAAAGTAAGATGAAAATACGTTACTCATAATCTTAATTTCTAACAAGATGAAATAAAGTTTAACAAAGAATTTGCACAATAATTTTATTGTTTTCTAATTTTAACAGAACAATCCTTTGAATAAATTATGGAAAAACAGATAAACAAAAGGAAAGGTATGTTAAAATCACCCATAATCCCACTGCCAAGGGACAATTATCCTTAACATTTTTATGTTTACCATTGTAGCATATTTTCCAAACTAAAATAGATATGTGTACATAATGTATACAACTTCAATCATAGTATGCCTATTGTTTCATAAGATTCATTCCACTAAAAAATAAGTCATGAAGGCATTTCCTGGATTACTATCTTATAACGGAAATGTAATGGCAGCAGGATGATCCACATGACAGGCTGAGAAAAATTTATTTTCTTTTCCACTTTTTTTTGTTGTTTATATTTGAGTTCTGGGGTACATGTGCAGAACATGCAGGTTTGTTACATAGGTAAACCCATGCCATGGTGGTTTGCTGCATCCGTCTCCCCGTCATGTACATTAGGTAATTGTACCTCCCCAATCCCCCCATGCCCTGCTATCCCTCCCCTAGTCCCTTCACCCCCCGACAGGCCTCAGTGTGTGATGTTCCCCTCCCTGTGTCCATGTGTTCTCATTGTTGTGGCACATATACTCCATGGAATACTATCCACTTTTTATTTTGAAATTTTAGACCCAGAATAGTTGCAGTAACAGCACAAAGAAATACTAAAAAGTCTTAAATTCCTGAATGCTAACATTTTACTGCATATGTTCAGCAATCCCATGCATGCTCTCTCTTACTGTCTCATATCACTCCTTCTCTCTACATACGTATGTATACATGTGTACGTGAATATATATGTATAATACTTCCTTTTTTTTTTTTGAGATGGAGTTTCGCTCTTGTTACTCAGGCTGGAGTGCAATGGCGCGATCTCGGCTCAACGCAACCTCCGCTTCCTGGGTTCAAGCAATTCTCCTGCCTCAGCCTCCCAAGTAGCTGAGACTACAGGCGTGCACCACCACGCCCAGCTAATTTTTCTATTTTTAGTAGAGATGGGGTTTCACCATGTTGACCAGGATGGTCTCGATCTCTTAACCTCGTGATCCACCTGCCTCAGCCTCCCAAAGTGCTGGGATCATAGGCGTGAGCCACCCCGCCTGGCCATATATGTATAATACTTTCTAAAGAGAAAACTGCAGCAGAATTACACTCTAAACACTTGAGTATAATTTTCTAAAATGGAAGATGTTCTTTTACATAAATATTACAATTAATAAAATTGGTAAAATTACTTAACATTGATGCAATACTTCTTGTGATACACAGATCAAAGTCACAGAATAAATTCAGATTTCTTCCATTTTTTCCATTAATGTCTTTTATAATGCAGGAATTTCTTTTTCTCATCCAGAGCACAGGTACCGGTAACACATTGCATGAGTAAATTGGGTCAGAGTCAAATTATGGTGGACATTAAGATGTAGGTCTATTAAGAAATTTCTACTTAATCTTATAAGAATAGAAGACATTGGAAGTTTTAAACAGATTCTCAGATTTTGTTTTGTTTTGTTTTTTAAAGGCATTTCTACTGGCATTACAGAAAATGATTTGGAAGAACAAGGCTCTTTAATAAATTTCTGCACCAGTGAGACATAAGAGGACAACACACAGACTATACAGATGGAGAGGAGGGGAAAATAAGAGATCAATCAAAATTACATGTGCAAAGGCAACCTCTCTCCTCCACTCCAAAGTAGGAATTAAATAGTTTAAGTTTTTGATGGCAGACCTGTCCCTAGCACTGGTATGAGAATTCACTTATAAGGAAGAGAATGAGAAAATGTCCTGCCTTCAATTTATGTTTGCATAAAACATTCTTATACAAAGAATGTTTTAAGATTGAGTCTGTAATGCATTGTGCATTTCTCAGTGAAAAAGGAGAGCCCCGTTTAACAACTGTCCATTTCACTTTAAAAAATCTGTTTACACCATCACAGCCCCCTATTATACACCAAATTAAGAAACGCCTTGCATGTCAGTGCTAAAAAGTCTTACTGCATCCAATAGTCAGCATAACATTAGAGATCCTTCTTAGTTTTGCACTTAAGTAATTGGATGGTGCTAAACTTTTGTCATTTAACAAGCTAAATTAAAGAATAAGTAACAGGCTTATCAGTTAAAATAAAAGCATGCACAATATTAGGTTTACAATCCTGTAAAATCTAATGAAATATATTTATCAATTAAAATGTTTCGCCTGAGAACTTAGGTTCTTAGGTTCATCAGACAATTCAATCTGCACATGAATCTTCTGGGAACTGAATTAAAAATGCAGATTTGGATTCCATGAGTCCGAGGTAGGGGTCTCAGATTCAGCATTTTAACATGCTGTCAGGGGTTGTCCGTGATGCCAGTTCCCAGAACACACTTTGAATAACAAGAATGTAATAACCATTGATAGAGTCTCACTGGATAATAGATTTTTACTTGCAGAGGGAGGTGGTACAGCAGGTTAAAAAGAGTACAAGGGTGGGAGTCAAGGATAAGTAATTCGAGAACTGTCTCTGTCATTAATAAACTGGATGACATGAGGCAGATCCTATGACCATTTGGGGCCTCAGTTTCCTTGATGATCTGCAGTGGAACTGTGAATTGGTTTTCTAGGACATTAGATATGTTTTTAGCAAACATTTAGTAAATGTATTTATTTAAAAATGTTCAATGTTTTTCTGCTGAGAGCACATCTGAAGCAGTTACCATCTGATTATAAAGGAAATGGAAAATTAAATTACCTTCAAGAGAAAGTGACCTCTTCTCTTCATAAAGTTGCAAGCTAAATGAAAGAGAAAACAAAGATTGTGGCCAAAGAACCCTAAATCAGGTCACCAAAATATTCCTTCTCATATATAGAAATATATACACTACTTTTTTGCCTCTTCAGGCATGGCTTTTAGCAAAATGCACTGGTTTTGAATTTGAAATGAAGCAGTTTTGCATTTCATTTAAACATCTGGCTCTCCACTGATGGGAGGCAAAAGACAATCAAGTGTAGTCTACTGCTTGCAGAAGCATTCAGATTAGCAGGGGCAGAGTGTTCCCAGGAAATCAATGGGGTCCAATCGACACCCAAAATCCAAAAGTACACACCTTGCACAAAACATTATTTCTTCATAATCGGTAAATATTTATATTAGTCTGTTTTCACACTGCTGATAAAGACATACCCGAGACTGGGCAATTTGCCAAAGAAACTGGTTTCTTGGACTTACCGTTCCACGTGGCTGAGGAGGCCTCACAATCATGGAGGAAAGTGAAAAGCAGGTCTCACATGGCAACAGACGAGAGAAGAAAGCTTCTGCAGGGAAACTCCCATCAGATCTCGTGAGACTTACTCACTATCATGAGACCCGCAGGAGAAAGACCCGCCCAATGACTCAGTCACCTCCCACCAGGTTCCTCTCACAACATGTGGGAATTGTGGGAGTCACAATTCAAGATGCGTTCGGGTGGGGACGCAGCCAAACCATGTCAGTAGTAAACTAGATAGGATGGATTTTTAAAAACTGAAGAAAGAGAAAAAGGGAAGGAAGGAGAGATGTATTATTTAAGTTGGCAGAGATTTATAGTGAGCACATTCATTCACTTTCTCTCAATCTTTAGGATCAGCTGTGTTTTTGAAACAGCTGAGTATCCAGGGGTCACCTTTTTGCCAGCTGCCTGGGTCCTGTTGCTTTTGATCACTTTCTCTGGCAGATGTGATGTAATTCTGTTTGCCAGCTCACTCCTTTGAATCTGCTAACTTAGTGCACACTGCTCTCATCTCACTAGCAGGGCTGCCTCTGAGTGAAAGCACTCCTGCCAAAGGTGATCTCCCCTTGGAAGGGCAAGCCCCTCTCATCTCCTCACAGCCCAGACTCCCATGGCAGATGCAGCTCTCCCTCTGGTCCTGGTGTCAGCTTCAAAGGCCTGACAAGCTTCCATCAGCAGAAGCTCCCTTTTAATTGTTATAGATCAAAAAGTGCTGAATATGTCCATCAAAATAGGGTAGAAGAGGATAGAGGAAGAGAAGAAAGATCAGGCATTTACCAAGACAACCCACGCTTTCTTTATGCCACCTGATCCTACCTGATTAATGGGCTGGTCATTTTCACACCAATACCATATAGAAAGCGACCAATTTCAACGTCCGTATATGACCCTCACTCTCATGTATTTTCTCTTTCCTGTAATTTATTTGTCCCTAGAGCTACCTCATATTTCCATTAGGGGATGCCTGGCAACACACATCCACACATACAAGAGAGAAAGAGAGAGCCCTTTGCTGAATTTTTTTTTTTTTACATAGTTGTTATTCCTTTGTTCTTACCTGTTGCATTCCATCGACATGGCAAAAAACTTGATTTTTATAGCTGGAAGTGGGCTTCACTAGACTCTAACAGTTGAGTAAACTAAGGCCAAGACAATTGATCTGACTTATGCAGGGCTACAGAGATGCTTTACCTACTACCCCACTTTCTATTTAATGTACCCTTCTATTTCATGACTATGCTAGCTATATTTCAATAACCTGATCTAAAACCTCAAGAGGCAATCATGTGTGCTGGTTAAAAATCAAACCCACTGTGCCACATTGGCCCTGCCACTTAATAGCTTCCTTCTCTGTATAGTGCAAATTTGCAGCCTACCCTCCCTCATGGAAGAGCTGTGAGCATTGCAACTACTGTTTTGGTAATGCTGTTTAGTCCAAACACGCAATGAGCTCTAATTTATCAACCATTATTTTTTTAGCTTTTATATTAAGTTCAGGGGAACATGTGTAGGCTTGCTATGTAGATAAATTTGTGTCATGGGTGTTTGTTGCGGATTATTTCATCACCCAGGTATTAAGCCTAGTACCCATTAGTTATTTGTCCTTATCTAGTCACTCCTCCCACCCTCCACCCTCTGAAAGGCCCAGTGCATATTTTTCCCCTCTATGTGCCCATGTGTTCTCATCATTTAGCTCACACAGGCAATATTTGGTTTTCTGATCCTGTGTTACTTTGCTAAGGATAATGGCCTCCAGGTCCATTCAGAATTCTGTAAATGATATGATCTCATTTTTTTATGGCTGCATACTATTCCACAAATGTGGTGTGTACCACATTTTCTTTATCCAGTCTATCACTGATGGGCAGTTAAGCTGATTCTATTTCTTTGCAATTGTAAATAGTGCTGCAATGAACATATGTGTGCATGTGTCTTTATAATAGTACAAATTGTATATCCCTTTGGGTATATACCCAGTAATGGAATTCTTGGGTCAAATGGTATTTCTGTTTTTAGGTCTTTGAGAAATTGTCACACTGTCTTCCACAATATTTCAACTAATTTACATTTCCATCAACAGTGTATAAGCATTCCTTTTTCTCCCCAACCTCACCAGCATCTGTTTTTTTGACTTTTTCATAGTAGTCATTCTGGCTAGTGTGACATGGTATCTCGCTGTGGTTTTGATTTCCATTTCTCTAATGCTCAGTGATTTTGAGGGCCTTTTTCATATGATTATTAGCCACATGTATGTCATCTTTTGAAAAGTGACTGTTCATGTTCTTTGCCCGGTTTTTAATGGGCAATTTTTTCCTTATAAATGTAAGTTCCTTATAGATGCTGGATATTAGACTTTCGTTGGATGCATAGTTTGCAAAAATTTTCTCCCATTCTGTAGGCTGTCTTCTCACTCTGTTTATAGTTTCCTTTGCTGTGCAGAAACTCTTTAATTCAATCCTAATTGTCAATTTTTGCTTTCATTGCAATTGCTTTTGGAATCTTTGTCATGAAATCTTTGCCTGTCCCTGTGTCTTGATGGTATTGCCTGGGCTGTCTTCCAGGGTTTTTATAGTTTAATTTTTTATATTTTTTATATTTGTCTTTAATACATCTTGAGTTAATTTTTGTACATAGCATTAAAGAAGGGGTCCAGTTTCAATCTTCTGCATATGGCTAGCCAGTTATCCCAGGACCATTTATTGAATAGGGAATCCTTTCCCTATTGCTTGTTTTTGCCTTAACTATTTCTTAAGTAGAAATTAGTATTTGGAAGAAGTAAACATTTATAGTTTACCCAACTTATTTAATACATCTCAATAAGTTAAATACCAACAATCTCCAAAAATTCAGTATTTCATGATTTTTTTTCATTTGGTGGATCAACAGATTGACAAATTTATTTTTCCAAGTGAACAAATTTCTAAAACTCTCACTACCACATTTGTCTTACAAACTAAAAAAAAAAAAAAAAAAAAAAAAACTAAAACACTTAAATTCAAAGTAGAATAAAAGGCATAGTTTGAAAACCAAATATAATCCTTCCCAAAAACAAAACTTTTGATTCTGTTGAGAAAATACTGTCATGGACCAGCATAACAAGGACTAGAGTTTGCAAGTCCTGTGTTTTTATCTCATCTCCAATAATAAAGAGGCATGTTGCCAGAGGCTGCATGTAGCCCTCCTTCTTCCCGTCTTCCCACATGTACCAGGAAGAGGCAAGGCTCAGGGGCTTTGACTGAGAAGACATTTATCCAGGACTGTAAATGAAGCAGCTGCCAGTCACCCAAGACTTATCCAGTGTTCATCAAATCTGCACATAAATTCAATTTGCTAAAATTGGTATTACCAAAAAAAAAATTATCAAGCATGGACAATAAGCAAATCTAACAAAATGAAACCTTGAAAAAGAACAAGCTCTGCCTCTTTCTGTAAAACTCACCTGTACTTCTGGTGAAGTTCATGAAAATGGTGTATGAGAAAATACACTGAAAGCTTAATAGAAGATCCATGTGAGCTGTGACTGCATGAATGGTGTTCAAAAATTTAGGAAGCAAGAGCTTGAACTCAGTTTTGTGGCATTCAGATCATGCCTGGAGGTGAGATTTCAACAGGGACAAAGACAGACTAAAATAGGCAAGAGGAGGCAATGAAGTGCAAAGGCCCTGGGGCTGTTTCATAAAAAGATACTGACGACCCCAGGGATGTCTATGTCAGAGTAGTAAAATTTTAGGAGCAATAGTCACTGTTTTCAGATGGCTTAAGAGTTGTCATGTAGAAGAGAAAATAGAACGGCCAGAGGCACAAGAAGGTCAAAATGATTGGAAACTAGGTAAAATAGACTTACGCAGCATAGAGAAAAAAATCGAACTCTTAACAGTTGCTCCCCTCTCCCCAGCCCCTAAAAACTGGAGTGATTTTCTTGAGCAATGTTGGGTTCCTTACACTGGGAAGTAAGGCATGTCCACATCAAGGAGTTATACCAGGAAGTCTAACAAAAAGAAAAAAGACGGTGCTATAGATTCCCACTAAGAGGTGGAAATCTGATAATTTTACCATATAATCTTGAATATCTCCCAGCTGCTTTCCCGGTCTTGCTTTGCCCACAAGTGAGGCTATTATATATGATAAATTCAGAGCAGTTTGAATATGCATTGGCTTTTATCAATAAACATATCTGGGTTTTTTTCCTTACCTTTGACTATGCAGCTATCATTTATTATTTTGTTTTATTTATTTATTTAGAGGCGGAGTCTCACTCTGTTGCCCAGGCTGGAGTGCAGTAGTATGATTCGGTTCACTGCAACCTCAGTCTCCCAGGTTCAAGCAATTCTCCTGTCTCAGCCTCCCGAACAGATGAGATTATAGGCACCTGCCACCATGCCTGGCTAATTTTTGTATCTTTAGTAGAGATGGAGTTTTGCCATGTTGGCCAGGCTGGTCTTGAACTCCTGACCTTGTGATCTGCCCGTCTCAGCCTCCCAAAGTGCTGGGATTACAGGCATGAGCCACCACGCCTGGCCAGCTATTATTTATTGACTATTTTCCTTGAAAAGGGCACTGAAAATTTTTGAAGTAGGTTATATTATTATTCCCACTTTAAAGATAGAGAAGCTAAGTTTCAGAGTCCATACATAATTTGCCCAGGCCACACAGCTGGCAAGTCAAAGATGCAATTCCAAACCCAAATCTGTCTGAGGCTCTTAAGCCACATGGTGCATGGATTGAAAACATTTAAAATGTATTATCTTGAAAGGATTCTCATTTTGCCCTAGTAGCATTTGTTTCATTGCCAAGTCCTATGCCTATAAATTTACACAAATTCCTGATTATCCAAGGATTAACTTAGAGATCAGTATCATGAAATTGTTGCCCTTCCCAGATCCGTTTTCTTTGATGTTAACACAAGCCTCCAGATGATTCCTCTTTTCATGTTCTAGGACTCACTATCTATAAAAACATTACTTCCAACAACCCAGGATTATGTGTCTTTGAGCCTCCACCATAGTTGCCTCTCTTTGCACTCCATTTCAGTTATTTACTATGTGGGCTCAAGTCCTATACCATATCTAAAATATCTTCTTTCTGACTGTAACATTTCATCCTTTACACTAACTTCCCTATTTCATGACCCCTGAACTCTGATCTTGCTGTGATCTCATGGAAAACTGTTCCCTACTCTCCAAAAATGTTACTTCCTGCCCCTTGGCCTTACCTGAAGATCTCATAGTGCTTTACCTTAACCTCTTTCTCTCCTCTGACTCTAGACCTCCCTGTTGCACATGCCCATCTAAACTCCAACAATGCGTCACTCTCAACCATTCATTCACATCATCTGCTGCTACATATGAGTTGCTGACAAAAAACAAAACAATATACATATCTTAATTTTAAAATATTTTATTGCAAAAACTGCTAAAGATCCCTCAGCACATTGCAAACTTTTTGCTGGTGAATGATCTTGTCTTGATGTTGATGGCTGCTGACAGATCAGGGTGGTGGTTGCTAAAGGGTGGGGTGGTTGTGGCAACTTCTTAAAATTAGACAATGAAATTTCCTGCATCAATTGACTTATTTTCATGAAAGATTTATCTGTAGCATGTAATGCTATTTGATAGAGTCTTACCCACAACATAACTTTAAAAATTGGAGTTCGTGCTCTCAAACCACATTGTTGCTTTACCCGCTAAGTTTATATAATGTTTTAAATATTTTGTTTTCATTTTAACAATGCTCGTGGCATCTTCACCAAGAGTAGATTTTATCTCAAGAAACCACTTTCTTTGCTCATCCAGAAGAAGCAACTTCTTACCCATTCAAGTTTGATCATCAGATTATAGCAATTCAGTCACAAATACAGGCACCATCTCCAATTATAGTTATCTTGCTATTTCTACCATATTTTCATTTATTTTCTCCACAGAGGTCTTGAACCCCTCCAAGTCATCCATGAGAGTTAAAATCAACTTCCTAATTCCTGTTGATGTTGATATTTAAACCTCCACCCATGAATCATGTTCTTAATGGCATCGGAAATGGTGAAGCCCTTCCAGAAGTTTTCAATTTACTTTGCCCAGATCCAACAGAGGAATGATAATCTATGGCAATTATAGCCTCATAATGTGTATTTTTTAAATAATCAGACTTGAAATTTCAAATTATTCCTTGATCTGTGGGCTGCAGAATGTATGTTGTATCCGTAGGCATAAAAACATTAATATCCTTGTACATCTCTATCAAAGCTTTAGGGTTGCTAAGTGAATCAACAATGAGCAATAATATTTTTAATCTCTTTTTTTCTGAGCAGTTGGTCTCAACGGTGGGCTTAAAATATTCAGCAAACCATGCTGTAAACACATGTGCTGTCATCCAGTCTTCATTGTTCCGTTTATAGAGCACAGGCAGAGTAGATTAAGCATAAATCTTAAGGATTCTAGGATTTTTGGAAGGGTAAGCACTGACTTCAACTGAAAGTCACCAGCTGTGTTAGCTTCTAGCAAGAAAGTCAGCCTGTCCTTTGAAGCTTTAAGCCAGGCATCAACGTCACTCCAGCTTTGAAAGTCCTGGAGGGCATCTTCTTCCAATACAAGGCTGATTCATTCACATTGAAAATCTGTTGTTTGATATAGCCACCTTCATCAATTATCTTTGCTAGATCTTCTGGGAAATTTGTTCAGCTTCTACATCAGCACTTGCTCCTTCGTCTTGCACCGCTATGTTATGGGGGTGGCTTATTTCCTTCAACTTCCTGAACCAACCTCGGCTGGCTTCCAACTTTCCATCTGCAGCTTTCTCACGTCTCTCATAGTTCACAGAACTGAAGAGCCTTAGGGCCTTCATCTAGACAGACTTGGCTGAAGGAGATGTTGTGGCTGGTTTAATCTTCTATCCGAAGAACTAATCCTTTCTCTATATAAGCAATAAGGCTCTTTCACTTTATCACTCATGTATTCCCTGGAGTAGCACTTTTAACTTCCTTCAAACACTTTTTCTTTGCATTTACAACTTGGCTGTTTGGTGCCAGAAGATTAGCTTTCAGACTGTCTCAGCTTTTGACATTTCTTCCTCACTCATTCCTAATCACTTCTAGCATTAGATTGGAAGTGTGAGATGCACAATTCTACCTTTCACTTGGACACTTGGAAGCTATTGTAGGGCTATGAAATGGCCTCATTTCAATATTGTTGTATCTCAGGGAATACTGATGCCTGAGGTGAGGAACAGAGACAGGGGAGCTGCTATGGGCAAAGCCGTCAGAACACACACAACATTTGTCTATTAAATTAACCATCTTATATGGGCACAGCTTATGATGCCCCAGAACAATTACAACAGTAACATTAAGGATCACTGATTGCAGATCACCATAACAGGTATGACCATGATGAAGAAGTCTGAAGTACTGCAAGAGTTACTAAAACGAGACGCGCAGACGTGAAGTGAGCACATGCTGTTAGGAAAATGGTGCTGAGACTTGCTTGATGCAGGGTTGCTAAAAACCTTCCATTTGTAAAACAAGAAAACAGTACCTTTGAAACACAATGAGATATGTCTATGAAAGGCCAGTTTCTTATATATGCACATATAGATGTATATTAGGCAAATTTCTCATATATGTAAGGGTAATTTCTTATATATGCACATTTAGGTCTGTGTTTTATATATATATATATATATATATATAATGTGTGTGTGTGTGTATATACATACACACTATATATATATAACACATTCCATCAGGAATAAGAGACATATATTCATACACTATAGTATACGACTATATGTCTCTGCCTCCTCTATCAGGAATTTTATTGTCAATAATGCACTTTCTATTATTTTTCTTTTTTTGAGGCAGAATCTGGCTCTGCAACCCAGACTGGAGTGAAGTGAGGCAATCACAGTTCACTGCAGCCTCGACCTCCCAGACTCAAGTGATCCTCCCGCCTCAGCCAGCCAAGTAGCTGGGGCTGCAGGCGCGCACCACCACGACTGGCTAGTTTTTGCAATAATGCACTTTCTTTTCTATTTTCTTCAAACTCTTAAAGTCTACTTGTCAATATTCTCAGATGTTCTACAATTAGCATCTGCTACTAGTATCTGTGAAACACAATGAGATATGCACACTCGTTGATAAAGTACTGCTTTTGTAAAGGTGTGATATTTTTCTTACTGAACTAGTGTCTTGGTCTTTACATTCTGCCAATCCGGTAGATTCTGTCTCAGAGTGCCTCAAGGTTAATGCCGTCTTGCCATCTCCGGGTGCCCTCTGCTGGCAAAATGAGAGTATAACATGTCAGTCTGGAGAAGGTGAGACACCACTTCATACTTACCAGTCATTGGGAAGTTTATCAAATGCCATCAGTTTGGGAGGCCGAGACCGGCGGATCATCTGAGGTCAGGAGTTCCTGACCAGCCTGGCCAACACGGTGAAACCCCATCTCTACTAAAAATACGAAAAAAAATTAGCCGGGCGTGGTGGCTGTGCCTGTAATCCCACTCTACTTGGGAGACTGAGGCAAGAGAATTACTTTTTTTTTTTTTTCTGATGAGGACTTTTTTTATTATTTAGTATTCATTTTTTTAAAATTGCATTTTAGGTTTTGGGGTACATGTGAAGAACATGAAAGATTTTTGCGAGAATTACTTGAACCTTGGAGGCGGAGATTGCAGTGAGCTGAGATCTCGCCATTGCACTCCGGTCTGGACAAGAGTGAAACTCCATCTCAAAAAAAAAAAAAAAAAAAAAAAAATAGGTTTCACATCGGTAATTGCATAACATTAGTTAACATGTTAAAATGTTGCTCTCCTTATTTCCTTTTGAGCTGACATAGATTACAGGTGGACTGTCCAATGTGGTAGTCTAGTAGTGCCTGTGGCTCCTGGGCACTTGAAAAGTATCTAGTTCAGGTGTGGTGTAGTAGCTCACGCCTGTAATCCCAGCACTTTGGGAGGCCCAGGTGGGCGGATTGCCTGAGGTCAGGAGTTCAAGACCAGCCTGGCCAACATGGTGAAACCCTGTCTCTACTAAAAATATAAAAATTAGCCAGGTGTGGTGGTGGGCTTCTGTAGTCCCAGCTACTTGGGAGGCTGAGGCAGGAGAACTACTTGATCCTGGGAGGCAGAGGTTGCAGTGAGCCAAGATCGCACCAAGGCAGCGCAGCCTGGGTGATGAGAAACTCTGTCTCAAAAAAAAAAAAAAGAAAAGAAAAGTACCTAGTTCAAATTGAAAGGCCTATGAATATATACCACATTTGAAGAGCTACAGTGGAAAAAAACAAATGTAAAATATGTAATTAATAGTGTATTGGTTACATGCTAAAATAATATTTTAGATGTATTAAATAAAATTTTCTCAACTCATAATTTTCTACCTTTTAAAATATGGTTACTAGAAAACTGTAAATCATATATATATACATATATATATCTTGCATTGTATTTCAACTTTACAGTATGCTACAAATAGCACATTCTAAAGTCATAGTATCAGGCAGAAATTTCAATGTAGGTAGTAAAAAATGGTTAAATGACACCTGAAATTTTCATGTAGATTGACGGTATACAAATCACTGGGAAAACAAAGATCTGAGAAAGATTTTATTAATTTTTTGGATCAATTTTGGAGAATCACTGATGTGTTAAGTGCCAAAGACCACCATCTCTCCTCAGAGTGGGGAGAGGGTAGGAAGTGCCTACACCTTAATTCAGGCCTGTTGAGGGGCATCAGCTGGACCACCGTGAGAGCCTGCCAAGAGGCCAGACATGGCCTATGGGAGCAAAATACGAGGGTGTGACTAGGGAAGTAATATGCTTTGCATCGGCATTCCCACACAAATCCCATATTGAATCGTAATCCCCAGTGTTGGAGGTGGGGCCCGGTGGGAGATGACTGGATCATGGGGGTGGATTTCTCATGAACGGTTTAGTGCCATACCCTTGGTACTGTTGTCGCAACAGTGAGTGATTCTCCCCAGGCCTGCTCGTTTGAAAGTGTGTGACACCTCCCCTCTCTCTCTCTTGCTCCTGCCTTCACCACGTGATGTGTCTGCCTCCCCTTCACCTTCCTCCATGATTTTAAACTTCCTGAGGCCTCCCTAAAAGCAGTTGTCGCTATGCTTCCTGCACAGCCCATACAACCATGAGCCAATTAAACCTCTGATTTTTTTGTTGTTGTTTTTGAGAGGGAGTCTCGCTCTATCACCCAGGCTGGAGTGCAGTGGTGTGATCTCAGTTCACTGCAACCTTTGTCTCCCAGGTTCAAGTGATTCTCCTGCTTCAGTCTCAGGAATAGTTGGGACTACAGGCAGGCACCACCATGCCTGGCTAATTTTTTTGTATTTTTAGTAGAAATGGACTAGGCTGGCTAGGCTGGTCTCAAACTCTGAACTCAGGTGATCCGCCTGCCTCAGCCTCCCAAAGTGCTGGGATTACAGTTGTGAGCCACTGCCACCAGACTAAAGCTCTGTTCTTTATAAATTACCCAGTCCCAGGTATTTCTTACAACAATGTGGGAATGGCCTAATACAGGGAGTAACTGCCTTTTCAAACTTTGTCGGAGTGCAGGATGCTTCTTCCTCCAGGGCAGGTGTGGACTTTTTGTGTTCTTTACAGCTATGTGTGTGGTTTAGCTTCTCAAAGAGGGCCAATTAGAGGGTAACAGGATGATAATAGGTAGAAATTGGAGGTGAGCTACTGAATGCTTAGTGAAAAAGATTCTGGGACTTCAAGATGAGTGACCCCCAGTGATAGGGGAGGAGAGGAAAGGGTACATGTAGACATGCCATTTGACACTCACAGTCCTGGTGAGGCTGTCCCTTTTTCCCAACACCTTCCTTAGCAAAAACTACAGGAAGAAAGAGAGAGAGAGACCTTCTTTGCAAATCTTTGAACCCAAACTTGTCTGCAAACATAACCTATAAATGTTAGGTTAAAAACATCAGCTATTTTCAGATGATCTCCTCTGATCCTTATTTTGTCCCTTGCCCCTTCCTAATACTCATTAAGTTATTCATCAGATCTTGAGTAAGACTGTGCTCAGTAATGGGAATTCCAAGAATGTCAAAGTTGGAGAAGGCCTTAGGAGTCCTCTTCTCTTTCCATCCACAGTTATCCAAAGATTTTTGAGCTCTCACTATGTGTCACGCACTACAGTAGGCAACAGGGACAAGAGGTTATATTTGGTGAGAAATCACATCTCCAGTGTAGCCCCATTCTACCTTGAGGAAATTCTCATATTAAAGAGATTTTGTTTGTATCTACTCATAGAATTATAAAACAGCCTGTGCGTCTGGAGGAAGTGAGCTTAGAATGGTTGGAGCACAGTATGGGAGATAACATCCTGAACACCCCAATCTAGACAGCTTTGACTGTTACAAAAGTTCATTTGTCCAGTTTTTCAAATATTCCAGGTGAGGTGAAGTTTTTACTTTTACAAAATGTTCCTATTTTTCTCCAGTATATTCTTTAAAAAAAAAAAAATTTTTTTTCGAGATGGAGTTTGACTCTTGTCGCCCAGGCTGGAGTGCAACGGCATGATCTCAGCTCACTGCAACCTCTGCCTCCTGGGTTTAAGTGATTCTTCTGCCTCAGTCTCCCAAGTAGCTGGGATTATAAGCATGCACCACCACGCCTGGCTAATTTTTTTTGTATTTTTAGTAAATACAGGGTTTCACCATGTTGGCCAGGCTGGTCTCAAACTCCTGACCTCAAGTGATCTGCTAGCCTCGGCCTCCCAAAGTGCTGGGATTTACAGGCATGAGCCGCTGCTCCTGGTCATAACACTTTTCATTAAAGATTACCTTTTCTGATATTTATCATGGCTTTCATTAGTTTCCATGACCATCTTTTTTTTGTTCTTTATTTTCATTCTGTGTCATATATTTTAAGTATTTCTCATAAGGCTGCATACAGTTTTATCAGCCTTACAATCTTGTCTTTCAGTTGAAACATTTAGTTCACAAACATTTAATATAACAACTGAAATATTCAACCATTTAACTACTATTTCTTTCATTTTTTCTAACTTCTTTTCTCACCAATTATATTTTATTATTTCATTTCCTTCACTATTAACTTGAAAGTGCAGGACAGTTGTCCAGATGGGCTTGGGCCAATACAGCTCTCTCCTTTTTCTTCCTTGCAGTTGTCAAGAATAACTGTAGAATGATGCAGCATCCTGAGACATGGGGCGCCTGGCCAGAAGAGCCTGGGCTCTGTTTCAGTCTCCCCAGAGAAACAGGCTGTCTTTCAGTGCTTTGGCACTAAATCAGTGAAACACAATGCCCCAGGGTGGGCTTCTTTCCAGGTTCCCTCAGGGGTGCTGCAAGTTAGACACACACAGATAAGACTCCATCAGTCCAAAGCAGTTTTCCTGATCTGGGGGACTGGCTTATGAAGAGTCCTAGGCTACTGTTGTCCTTTCTGCCTATGGGTAAGTAATAAACCACTTCATGAAACTCGGGTATGAGTGTGTTCTGTCTCGCCAGACTCAGGTAAGGTGATGAGTGCAGAGTGAATCTGCTTCACAGGTAGTTTTACATTTTTTACTACTCTTTTTATAGCTGTAATAATGATTACATCAATCACACCTGACATATGAAGTCTAATAGTATTTAACTTCTTCCAAGATAATGAAGAAACTATATCTTGCTAGCCACAATATTTTCTTAGACAGGAAGAATAAAAATAACCTGAGAATTTGTTAAAAATGAAAATTAGCTAACGCATGCTGGACTTAGTTGACAGGTGCCACAAACCACTTTAGCACACATTTACCTACGTTACAAACCTGCACATCCTGCACATGTACCCCAGAACTAAAAATAAAAATTTAACAATTTTTAAAAGGATGTAAAAAAGACTACATATTAAGTAAAGTGTACACTACTTGAGTGACAGATGCACCAAAATCTCAGAATTCACTACCTAAGAACTTATCCACATAAACAACAACCACCTCTACCCTCAAAACTATTGAAATTTTTAAAAGAAATTTTAAAAATGCAAAATCACCATCCCCACCCCAGACCAATTAATCAAAATTTGCAATTTAACAAGATCCCAAATGATTAATATATGAAAACATTTGAAAAATACTGCCTTAGAGCACTTTAAATTTTTTTATGATTTATATTTCATTTTCATGTATTTTAATTTTATTTACATTTTAACCCATGATATTGTTTAAATAATCAATATTCATTTATATTTACCAATGTACACTTTTTATTTAAACTAATTCCTTTCTGCATTTCTGACCTTGCTGTTGTG